GTTGTTAAGAGCACACACTCTAGCCAGCTGAGCCACCCGGCCATCCCAAGGCATTGTATTTTTTATGTACCCTGTATCATCTATTAAAATTATTTTAAATTGAGATATAATTCACATACCATAAAATTCATTTTTTTAAAGTATACAATTTCACTGGTGTTTAATATATTTACAAGGATGTGCAACCATCACCACTTTTATTTGCAGAACATTTCGTCTGCACACAAAAAAACCTCCATAACAATTAGCAGTCACTTTACATCTCCCTGTTGCCCCAGCCGCTGGATTTGCCTACTTGACTTAACTTTTGAACCTGAGTTTCTAGTTCCTGGATTTTCATATTAACTTTAAGAGTTTGGGTTATATCAGCTTAAAGATCCTACAAGTACTTAAATGATTTAGGTTCCTGAATACTTCTGATTTCATGTCTTATGCTAACTTTAAATTAACTAACTTTTTTGGTGGTAAATTATATATAACAAAATTTACCATTTTAATCATCTTTAAGTATACAATTCAGTGGCATTAAGCACATTCACATTGTTGTGCAGCCATCACCACTGCCCATCTCCAGATCTTTATCATCATCCTGTACTGAAACTCTATAGCTATTTAGTAATAACTCCCCATTTCCTTCTCCCCCTATCCCCTGGCAACCGCTGTTGTACTTTCTTTTTTTTTTTTTTTAAGCTGAGCCATCCTGCCACCTGTTGGCAGCTCGGCGGCAGCTCAGCTCAAGCTGGGAATCGAACCGCTGTTGCTCAGAGCTCAAACTCTTGAGCGAGCTCTTAACCAACTGAGCCACTCGGCTGGCCCTGTACTTTCTATTTCCATAGTATTTGACTATTCTTATGTACTTTATATAAGCAGGATCATACAATATCTGTTCTTTTGTGTCTGGCTTATTTCACTTAACATAACGTCTTTCATGTTCTTACATGTTGTAGGATATGTCAAAATTTACTTATGTAAAGCTGAATGAATATACTGCCTGTGTGTATTATATGTATTGTATGTATATGTTGACATACAAAACGTCCAAACCTGTAGAGAATTTTTATAGGAGTTTATTTGAGGCAAAGTTGATGACATACGCCAGGGAGCAAGATCTCAAATGCTTTGGAGAATAAGTTTTGCAGTTTCTTTTATGCATTGAAATTAAGGAGGAGAGTAAGGAAGATTACATGGAGGTGGGAGAAAGCAAGGTGAGGATTGGATTACAGGCTAGTTAACAAGATTATGTGCCCTCGTGAGGGTGGTCACGCCTTTGAGGGGCATTCTGGCATTTCAAAGGTGTGTGTTCACCAAGATGCACAAGAACAATGGGCAGGGCTGGCTTCAAAACCTTCCGCTGAAGAAGTTATAGGCCTGGGGCCACCATGACCTGCCCAGTTAGGAATTCATGATTTATTATTATAGCACTGCTTTTTTGTCCACATATATAACGTTTTGTTTATCCATTCAGCCACTGATTGACATTGGGTTGTTTCCACCTTTTGACTATATGAATATCAATGCCGCTTATGAACATGGGTGTACAAATATCTATTCGAGTCTGTGCTTTCAGTTCTTTTGTGTATGTACCCAGAAATGGAATTATTGGATCAAACGGTAATTCTGTGTTTAATTTTTTAACCAACTTTGTTTTGAATTCAGTTGAATCTTTGCCTTCAGTGTTATGTCCCATTTATTTTATATGTGTGAGGTGGGTGTTAAATCCGTGGCAGCGATTGTATTCTGAGGGGACAATGCTTGCGTTACTTCCAAGAAGCATGCTTTGTGTAGCTATAATTTGTCTGTTTAAAAATACATGAGCATAAGTATAGAGCACATGTTTTGTCTATTAGATTGGAGTCACATCAGCTCCTTGTTACTCTTATAGGTGTTTCCTCAGGCATCTGGTAGGTATAGCCAAAGAACCAGATAAAGTCGTTTAAATCCTGTTTATCTCTTTTAAGCCTGTTTTATTGGCCTTCAAGACCATCTCCAAGGAAAGTAACATCTGCGTTTGGATGAAGTTGACTAAGTGACAAGGGGAGGGTGTTTTTGTGGCTCTGAAGCCCATGTTCTTTCTGTTACACAGCAGTCAGGTTCCCTTCCCTTTGGTTGTGAAAGACGTTTTATTAGAGAGTAGATTTCAATAATCTATAATTTCAGTTTAGTGAGGGAAGTCCCATTTTAGTCCCATGTCGATTGTGCAGAATGGGCCACAGGTATTACAAGGCTGAAATTGGCATTTTTGATAAATTTCTAAGAGAGGCTACAAGTACAAAGCTAATATACATGGAAATTAAAATTACTACACATTGCTATGGCTTTCTCAAATTAAAAAATAAGTTTGAAAATTTTTCCCAGAAAAATTATACTTTACAATTTAAAAAAATGTATTTGCTATCTGCTGAAGCATAAGTTAGCCTTGTAATCCTTTTTTGTAAAATATTGGGTTGTCAGAAAAGTCATGACACATTTTTACAATGAAAAACATAGAACAAATACGTCATGACTTTTCCAACAACCCAATAAAAACTCTAGTAAGAAAATGGTGCCCACTATAGAGGGATAAAGGAGGTAGAACATAGGTTTTTTTATTTTTGTTTTTGTTTTTTAAAGTAGGTGGGGTATAGGTTTTTTAAAGATAGAGGCCAGTGTAAATTCATGTGAGAAGACTAATTACTCTGGTTATGTCAGTGTGCAGAGGTTGACATTAGTAGATTGCAGTTACTTTGCAGGGTTTTTGCTACTAAAAGGCCAGTTAAGCAGACTGGGATATTGCCAAAATTGGGGTAGTTGAATATGTGTTAACTATTAAACTGTCTCCTCTCCTTGGAAGCCTGCTGTGACCTTGCCAGGCAAAACCAATTGATCCCTCCTGTATGCTTTCTTCCCTATAAGCAGTGTGTTTCTGCCTCCCTCAACTAAGTTGTGAACTTCGTTAAGGCAGAGATGTCGTATCCTATTCTGTATTTTCTGCATCTAGTATAATTGCTTACATGCAGTAGGCCCTTTTAAACATGGGCTGAGTCAATTCTTAGTATGAGACTTGGGCACATACATATATAACAACATGAGAAGAAGCAACTACTGTAGTTATCAGAGGAGGAAATCAAAATCACAGTAGGATGTGGTCAAGAACAGAGGAAAGCACTGCAAGACAGAAACCAGAGAGATTTTTGTTTCATGTGGTACATCAAGCTATTTCCTTGTCTCATTTCCTTGATTCTTTGCCCTGTGGCCTGAAACTCTTCTGTTTATTTAGCAGACATTGAAGCATAAATGTTGTGGGGTGACAAGCATGTAATTTTTTTAAGGTTTTTTTATTGGGGAATTGGGGGGATGGGAACAGTGCTGAGGAATTGGGGAAGGGGAACAGACAAGTTGCTGTCGTCTTGCTTCTCAATCTAATTGTGGAGGACGTTGCTTCACTGGCCCAAGCTGGCACCATCATTGCGCTCTTCCCAGGCGAGGCACATCAGTCGCCGGCTTCTGGACGGCCGCTCACTGAGGCTGCTGGCCGCTCACGCTGGCTGCTGGCTACACACGGTAGCCCATGGCAACCCACTGCCACAGGGGCTGCAGCCTACGCCATCACCGACGACTCACGGCAGCCCAGCTCCAGGTTGAGCTGTTGTTCAGCATCTTAGCTGTGGAGGGCAGTGTCACTGGCCCTCATATGTGGGATCCGAACCGGGGCCCTCTGGCGTCCCAAGCCAGTTCTTAACCATTGCGCCACTCAGCTGGCCCAGAAGCATGTAATTTTAATGCAACGTAATAAAGACATAATAGAGGCATGTGCCTAGAGTATTACTCTGTGAAAGAGGGAATGGGGGAAATCTTCATAGAAGGTAGTGTTGTAGCTGAATGAGAGAAGGGAGAATACCTCCTGCCAAGCTAACAGTCTCTGAAGAGAGGCTCAGTAGAGCACAGTAGGGTCCAGGAATGGCGGCCCTTGGGCAACTGGTACGATTGGGCAAGTGCTGGAAAACAAGGCGGAGATATGACTGGAAGCCACCTTGTTTCTGTTTTCACTCTTCCTCTCTCTTCTGTTCTCTTTGTGCTAGTCCACGGAGTTTTTGCTTTAACCAGAGTAATGGGGAGCCACTGGAGAATTTTACGGAGCAGAATGCCATGATCAGAAGTGTGTTTTGAAAGGCAGACTGACAGCCTTGTAACCAGGTAGAAGATGACTTATAGGGCAGATTCTGGAGGCAAGTAGATGGATTTGGAGGCAGTTGCAGTACTCGAGCAAGAGAGGAAGCGTTCCTGTTGTATGATTCCATTTGTATGAAATGTCCAGAGGAGGCCCGTGCATAGAAACAGAAGTAGATTAGTGGTTAACAGGGGCCTGGAGGAGTGGGGAACGAAGAGTGACCACTAATGGGTGTGGGCTTTCGCTTTGGGGTGATGTAAATATCCTAGAATTCAACAGTAGTGATAGTTGTGCAACCGTGTGAATATGCTAAAAACCCATTGAATTGTATATGTTTAAGTGGCGAATTTCATGGTATGTGAATTATATCTCAATTTAAAGAGAGAGAGAGAGAGATGAAGAGTTCCCGAAACAAGCAGAAACAGTGGGAATAAAAAAAGACCAAGATGCATTTGAAAGAAACTCAGAGAATTGACTGGAGACTGAATATTGGCAATGTCCTAAATAAAATATAGGCTGGTTCTGAAGTTTCCAATTTATATGATTGAATTGATAGGGAAAGAAATTCTGGAAAAAGCAAGTTTAGAGAGACATGCAGTGAACTGTGTGAAATGTTTTGAATGTGAAATCAAGGCAAGCAGTTAAGGGTCCAAATTCCTGGAGCGCCTCTGGGACTAGAAAAAAAAAATGAGTGTATAGGAATTGACTAAAGAAGTTAGTCAAACTGCTGATAGATGATTATCTCGTCACCAGTGGAAGGTAATGTCGCATTTGCTTTTTATCCTCAAAGCTGGTGTAGGGGTGGCAGTGGTGACTCTTTTAAATAAAGCTGAATCTTCATATTACTTTTTAGGCCGAGGCAAGGCTGGCAGCAAAACGGGCTGCCCGGGCAGAAGCAAGAGATATACGCATGAGAGAACTGGAACGACAGCAAAAAGAGGTAATTTTGGGGGAATAACCCTAACTTCATGCCAGTCTCAAAAAAATCAATACTTGGCTAGCTTACTTCTGAAGTAAATCTGGGTTGGTTCCCTTTGAAACATTGGGACTAGTATAACCTGATGTATGTATTTTAACAATCCATTTCATGTCAGCAAGTCAAATGCAATATTTGTTTTAAAGGATAACAGCAAACACATGGCTCTATGTACGTGTACATTTTGTTATAGTGTTTTAAGTGCTTTGTTTATATTAGCTAACGTAGGCTTAGAGATGACAAAGTTATTTACTGTAGTCCTAACTCTCCTAGAATTTCAATTATTATGATATCTACAAGTAAAACACTGAAATCATTCAACCTACAGTTTCTAGGCATATTTAATAATGGCGGAAAATATTCGTGTCAGGAAATGCAAAAGAAACTGAAAGGCTGGTAGGATTCCAATCTTGTGTTACAAAACCTAGCACCCATGTGTAGAAAGAAGTGGTTGCTCTTATTACTTTGGTTTGTCTGTGGTGGGATTATGATTGATTTGATTTTCTTCTTATGCTTTTCTGTAGTTCATAAATTTCAGTATGTTTTTATCATCAGAAAGAAGAGCAAAAACAAAAATTTTTAAATAGGTATATAGAAATTAGGCTGCTTGAAAATGAAACAAATACTCTTTTTTAACTCTTTCTTTCTGACATTGACCTGGCTCTGAAAATTCCCATAAAAATTATTTCTGATGCCGTATCAGTACAAAGGGGAAAACCCCTGCAGAATTACACACTTTATTTTGATATTGGTGGTGGATCTTCTGCTAATGAATTAAAGAGAAGTATGTAGATTCCATATCATCACAGCTCAAAAACAGAACCCAAAACAGCTGATATGTTGGTAATTTTTTTTTAACGTCATGTATAGTTTCAAATATTGAATGCAATTCTTGGCTTGAAATGAAAATGTTGCAATGCATTTTCTTTTGTACTCCTAAAATTATAGTAAATTATAAGGAGACAGTTATTAAATATAAGTTCTATTTATGGCCCTCTAAAGTACTGTACCTCTTATTGAACATATTTAGCTTAGTAATTTTTTGTGTTTTGAATGTGTAAGTTGCTTTGAGTCAATTATCATTGCTCTTCAAGGCAAATGTATATGATTAGGACTTTTCAAAGAATGCAGTAATTTGGAAACTGTTCAGTTTATGAAACTTTTGCATTTGTAGCATTCTCATCATACCTTTGATCGGAAGTGGGGACAGATTCACAAGTGGCTGGTAGGCCAGGATTGCCTGTCCTGCATGTTGTGATCAGTTGCTGAAATAATGCAATCTTGAAGTAAAACAGTGACTAATAGTTTTCAAAGTAGGAGCATTTGGCATGTTTGAACCTAAAAGATTAGAGAGTGTCTCTTCTGTCTGTAGTGGACCAAATGTTTACTTGGAGTCCAACCTTTTCTGTTGTAGTCTACAGCCTCACATTCATTTCAGGAATGCTCCCATCCAAGAAAGATTGAGTAAATGAATGTTTTTTCTTTCTGTGGGTTTGTTCTCACCCTTAAATTTGTCCCTTCCCTCTCTCCTTGCCTCTTTCCCTCTCCCCCTCTTTCTTTCTCTCTCTCTATTTTTAATAAACTATGTCAATAGGACCTTTGTTGAGAGATGATCCAAGTCATTCTTTCATCTCCTCTAAAAATTAGTCTTATCTTTTCACTTCACTCAGTTCCTCTTCAAGTCTTCTACCACCACTCCCAAATTGGTTAGCTACAAGAGCAAATTGTGAAGAATATTAGTTAATGTGAATCATTCCTAAATTTGAACTTTTTCTCAGTGTTGATAAGTTCCCCACTGTCTCCTATTGCGGGGATTCTTAATTTGGTATATGAACAGGCTTGGGGGATGGGGCACGATTAAAATATCGCACAAAATTTTGTATATAGTATGTGTGTATTTTTATGTGAAGTTCCCACAGGTATTTTTATCATCAGATACTCAAAGGACTCTGTGATCCCTGAAGGGTTAAGAACCACTGTCTAATTGCTAAAAAACAAGCAACTTTCATAAGCAAATCCCTTCTATAGCTGCATTTTAAGGTAAAACCAGAATTAAAATATTTATGACTGTATTGACTTACAAAATTTAAACTTTATCATACTTGTCATTGTGATATTTTAAATAGGAGAGAAAAAATGTGTTTGGTTACCTAAAATTAAGGGACTCCCCATGTATGTGTTTGTTACTTTGGAGTGGACTTTGTCTTGTTACTAAAGCTAGCCTAATTAGTTTTATTTGAAGTGTCTTCAGCATGTAACTAGATTAATATTACTAATGATACATTAAGAATGTATTGTATGAATAAAAGAAATCATTTTTGCTTGCACATTTTCCATTGAAATATGTTTTCTTCTTCCATTTATGTATTATAGTTCTAAAATTAAATTGCCTCAGATTTTAATATCTTAACAGCAGACCAAAACTGTAAATAAAGAGAAAAGCCTATATTAAAAGTCTAATATCTGATTCCTATATGCAAAGGCCATGAAGATAAACATACTTTAATATCTGTGAAATGTGTGTGGTTCAGGCAGTGAGTGTGATAGGTTTTCATGGGAGATGAAGCAATTCGGGTTAGAGGCTTAAAATGCAGGTGGTGACTGACGCAAGTCCCCACTGATAGATAGGACTTGGACACGCAGAGAAGGTGGGGCTTAGGTTAAGATGGAACTAATGATCACTTGTAATCCCTTCTGACATTTGCTTTTACTCTTTTCAAACTTATATTTCATCTCACTTTTTTATCTTATTTTTGTCTCTCTGGCTACTTTCTGTCTATGAGCCTGTTGTAGAAGTTGGCATGTGATGGTCACAGTATAAAATATACATTACTCATAAGTTTATAATAAAACAAATAATGCATATACAAACAGTAGGATTGTCAATTATTAGAAGGAAGAATCTTCCCATGTTAAAAATTTCTCCTAATTTTAATGCTTTTTTTGTGTGGGGGTTGGGATGTGAGTAGGGAAAGCAAAGGTCCCAGGCTCAGGAATGCAGCTAGCTTTTAGTGTTCCGTATGTCAGCACTGTACTTACTATGCTTCCGATATGTTTTTATTTCACGTTATAAAATAGGTGCCACCAACTCCATTTTATAGATAAGGTGATAAAGACTTACGCAGTCATCGGCAGAGCTGGAATTTGAAGCTATGAGCGAGTACCACATCTGCTAATGGACTGCAAGTGGGGAAAGGACCAACAAGAAAAGGGCCTCAGTCTTTCTGGGCCTTCAGACAAATAGTCTTAGTTTAGCCAGCAATTCTGTTTTTTAAACTGGGTGTCTTAATCAGTAGCATGTTGGTGACCTGAAAGCGTACATGTAATTTCTGAAGTTTCCTCATTTGAAACTGAGGGAATGGTTTCAGCCTCGACTTAAGTATTATTATTTGTTGATAGAGAAGATAGTCAGGTATTCACGGGGCTGTAGGTTTTTAAAAAATAAAACCACTTTATTCTCACTGCAAGTGAACTTTTAAAAACAGGGTATGTTTCAGTTCCATTAATTTAAGTGTATCAAAACATAATTTTCCAGAAAGCCTTAAACAAGTATACATCCATCTTTTAAGCATTGTCCTGTTTGTTTAGCCTTGGATCCTTTATACTAACAAGCTCTCCCAGGACAATGAGCATGTATTGTTTTCCTGACTGTGGAAGAGAGGGATACTCTGTCTTGTAATTGGAACCTGAAAACAGTTTGCTGAATTCTTTTCTGTTGGGTCCTGGTACTGCTAATTCAAGAAAAGCCAATTGGCAATTTTAGATACTACTCCAGAAATACTAGGGAAATGAAGCTCTTTGCTCTTTCAGATAAGGAGAAATCTCAGGGAGGGGGCATGTAGAATTAGCCTGCTTTTGTAGCACAAGGCTCTTTAAACTAACGAAGCTAACTAGCCTAGAACTGGTTACCACTTAAGAAACTGTACCTGCTTAAGTACACGCCCCCAAAACTTTTGTGGTATCACCTGATAGTCAAAGAAAGGGAAGAAATTTGCTTGGCTTCTTGCATATTGCATGTGTCTATTATATAACAATAATGTAAACCAGTGATGAATTCCTAATGACTAGAACACCCTGTTGGATTTTGACTCATTGAATCATACTGGTGCTTATAAGTAGACTTCTGGACCGACTTGATCCGGTGCATCCATGTACACAGCAGATGACAAACAGGAGTTTTTTGGAATTATACTCAAAGAATGTGACCAAATCAGGCATTACATGTGGTGTTTCAGTTGAATTACTATTTCCGTATTTGAAATGAGTCATCAGGCATAGCCACATCGATTTGTTCCACCTGTGTAACGATCATGCTGTATGGCCATGGGGTGTTTCAGGTATTGATTCCTTATTGTCATCAATTGTCACCCCAGTTGGACCAGCTGTGTATAGATTCTTAATGCAAATCACTTTAACCCTTTGGACTTTGAGATTCTGAAAGATCAGAAGTTTCTTACTGTTTCAGTTGATTAGGTTCTAGAGACTAGTCATTTGATTTCACATGACTCAGGACTCAATGCTCCAATGCTAATAGCTAAATGTGGAAAAGTTTAGAATTGCATTTAATTTAGTCAACTGTTAGGTTGTGGTCATTTTTCTTAGCAGCGTTCATAAGGCATAACTCTTTATTTTTTTATTTTTTTTTTAGCTGAGCCATCCTGCCTCCTTTTGGCAGCTCAGCTCAGGCCGGGAATTGAACCAGTGACCTTGTTGCTCAGAGCTCACACTCTTTTTTTTTTTTTTAACTGGGGAATTGGGGGATGGGAACAGCGCTGGGGAATTAGGGGAAGGGGAACAGACAAGTTGCTGTCCTTTTTTGTTCTTCAGTCTAGTTGTGGAGGACATTGCTTCACTGGCCCAAGTTGGCACCATCATTGTGCTCTTCCCAGGCGAGGCAGATCAGTTGCCGGCTTCTAGACGGCCACTCACTGTGGCTGCTGGCCGCTCACGCTGGCTGCTGGCTACACACGGTAGCCCATGGCAACTCACTGCAGCAGGGACTGCAGCGTACGCCGGCGATTCATGGCAGCCCAGCTCCAGGTTGAGCTGTTGTTCAGCATCTTAGCTGTAGAGGGCAGTGTCACTGGCCCTCATATGTGGGATCCGAACTGGGGCTCTCTGGCGTCCCAAGTCAGCTCTTAACTAACACGCCACTCGGCCAGCCCAAGGCATAACTCTTGAGATTACTTTCCCAACTCTAAAGTATTTATCCAATTTCTTCTAATTATAATTGGTTTTTTTCATATTAACAATACACAGTCGGACTATTTCATTTAGTTGTTATTTTCTTTTCCAGATAAAGTAGTGAAAGAAAGAAATGCTTCTCAATGAGCAGAAAATTATAACCCAAAATTTTTTAACCCTCCGTCGGGCACAGCTGCGCTCACAGATTCATTGCACACAAATTTTCAAATATCTAACAGTTAACTTAAGTTTCATGACTCATTGCTTCTGTATCTTCCCCCTCTACCGTAACCTATCGCCAGTCGTGTTTGTGACTTAGTACAGTAAAGATGTATTGCATAGCGGCATCTTTGTGTGCAGTGAATCAGTGAGATCAGTAGTGCCCGACGGAGGGTTAAAGCAATACACTGTCTCCTTAATACATCTGTGATAAACTAAACATTCCTTCTTGCCTTGCATAAACCAACATTCACAATGAAAAAATAGATGAAAATCTACTTTGAGTTGTGAACTCAATTTCTGTTAAGTATACTTGCTTCTTTTTATCTTGGTATATTGAGCTCTCTTCATCATATGTAGATTGCATTCTACAAGTGGTCAGACATGCATATACTTGTTAAAACAAAAACCATTGCCAAGATTATTTCTTTCTTTTCACCTGAAGCATGTGGCTGCCCCAAACGCAGCTTTTGAAACTGATTGTCCACACCTGCTTGCTGTGAGGAAGGTGCGGCCGTGCTCTTAACTGACTGCTTCGCTCAGTTCTTGTAGACAACCCTCTGCTCAGTATTAACTCGCCTTGTACTTTCTCCTTTCCCAGGAAGATTCGGATAGGGCTAAGTATTCCCACCGGTCCAGTCATCATCGTCCTTATCTGGTTTGTAATAACCTATCCACTTGCCTCTATTACTTTGCCTTGTTAACTTAAAGTAGTCACTCACAAACTTTTGTTTTTATTTTTATTAGGGAATTGAGGATGCATTGTCCCTGCGAAGTCTTGGCAGTCACAGGGTTGGTATTTTAAGTTGTTCATACCACAACAGCAAAGCTTATATGCCTGAGCTTTCTGCAGCACCATTGCCTAAGCAATCTGACAGTGTTCTTATATTCCTTTGCCTTTTTTAAAAAAATGGAAAATAGTGGCAAAGTCCTTTCATTGGAAAGTGATGCTTTCTCTCAAATTATTGCTATAAATAAATCAATTCTGAAATCATGAATATTTTCATCTATCATATGTGAATGTATTCTTTTTCTAGGACCTTTGATTTTGGAAAATTATCGCAAAATAATAAGATTGATTTTATAGAATAACATCAGCATGATTCTTTCAGATTTTTCCTTTCATATTTTTAAAAATAGCAATTGGGAAATATTTTGAGGCTTGGGTGATTAATTATAGTTCTATCACATGGAAAAATTGAGCTCATGATTTGAAAAATTCCCTGCTTTTCATACTTATAGGAATTATCATGCTTCAAACATTTTGATTAATAGTTTGTTGTATGTCTCAGGTTTTTAGCATACATTGTAAATCCAGATAAATGAGAAGTTGCTCATTAAAGGCTTGCATATTATGCCGACACTAATCTCTCTTTTCTTAAAGAATTGTGCTTTAAACTTTAAAGCAATGCTTTTAATTTGCACATTGATAATATTGTATATATCCTTACATCCAGATTTCTCATCAGTAAAATGATCTTTCATGTTAAGGTCTATATGTGTTCATTTTACCCCAAGTCTAGTTTTCTTTCCATTTTGTATAATGTATTAAAATGCACTATAATGAACTGAGTATGTTCTGGTATACTAGTTCTTGATGTGTTTATATTCTTAAATAGTTCTTTACTCTGGTTATATTTCTTATTGGTAAATGTAATCTGCTGTGTTTTTAGAGTAAGTTAATAAATTAGTTTTTGAATCAGAAATATTTTGGTTAATTATAAAAGTTTAGATTTATAAGACTATTAAGAAGCCTTTACAGAAATCTAATCAGCAGCTTCAGAATGATTTTACTGGAGAAAAACTTTAAGACAATCGATTTGTCATGCTTCTCCCTGGAGATATATTCTTTTCTCTTTAAATACTTTGAAAAGAATCATACAGGGAGTTAGTCAACAAAAGCTTGGAAGTTGTCTTTGAGGGCTTTGAAAATAATCCCCTCTCCCCCTCCCTTTTAAAAATGGCTTTTTCCTTTGCTTTCCTTTATAATGTTCATAGTATGAAGTTTCACACAGTTATTATTATAAGCTGGTTATTTGTAAATTTGTATGTGGCCCAGGGAAACTTGATTATAGTATATTAGTTTAACCTAATGGTAACACCAAGTTCTACCTAATTCAAGAACCTATAAAACAAATCTGCAAACAAACAAAAAAGAAATTTGTAAGTAAACTAATAAGGAATTGTTACACAGTTTGTCTATAAAGCAATGAGTTGTTTTTCTTTTTATGGAAAATTTATCATTACATACATTTAAGCTATGACTAGAACTCTTAACAGTATTTTATTTCATTGTGATACTTATGAAAATTTGTTACTGAGTAAAGCTCCCAATATTTAAAAAAATCAGTGTGTGAATTTAAATATTAATAAAAACTTTACTATAGTACTTTTTTGTATGTGAGTGTACATCCAGCACATTTTAAATATTTAGACTTTCCTGGAATTAAGTCTGAAAGTTCACTAATAACTTTGTTTAAAAGAAATATAATTGAGATTAGTTTTTTTCCTTTTTTTCTTTTAACTAGATAATATTGGGAGTTCTGTTTTCATCAGATTATTTTCTTTTAAAAATAACTTTATCATCTACATTAAGCTGAATATGTAGACAACTTTTGTTCTCTGTAAAAGTAAATGCGGTTGCCCAAAACAGTTCCCTAAATTTTATTGGGCTTTGCTGTGTAATTTTGGGATTTTGGTATTTCTCTGCCAGTTATCTTTTAAAATTTTATGTTTACTTATGAGCCGTACTTTTAAGTCTAATACTTTTGGACCTCATATTTGATGTATGAACATTAGCAGTACCTGGATGTGAAGCAGATGTATTTATGTTTTCATGCCGCATTCTTGGGACTTTGAGCTTTGCTTTTGTCCAGTTAACTTTTAGGTGCTATTTATTGTCTTGAAAGGCGGCCTGCTGGAAGCTGTTTGGGCTGGAAGTGGTATCAATGCTTTAGACATTCTGCATAAAAATAAAAAGAGCAAAAATATTTAAGACTGAATGGTAGGTTTGGGGAAGGGAGGATTAAATCAAAGCCCTGGGTATAGAATTGAAACGATTTGTTGTTTTAAAAAACAATTTACTTAAAAAAACATCTTACAAACACTTAGTCACTGGCTTCTATGCTGAAATACAAGAAGGCTATAAGACACCCAAAATTGGAAAATGAGGTGACCTTGAATCAGGGCATTGTGGGTACATCGTTATTTCTCACTGGTGGAGATTTTTACTGTAGTATATACTAGTTCCTGTTTATAGATCAATGGCCTACATATAATTTTAATAAATTCAGTTTTAATATGCTCACAATTTGTTTTGTCATTTACTGCTACACTGTTTAATTCTGTTGAAGAGCCCATCGAAGGACATAACTGGGACACATTGGAGCAGAGCCAACACACCCCAAAGGAAAGACATCATGGTGTGTAGTCCAGAAAAATGTGCAGTGTTAGTATTATGCATGCATTGTTGACTCTCAGAGTACTGGGAGCTTAAGTAACAGATACGTTCTCAGAGAAACTGACACTGAACTTTGTTTTTACAACCTGTTTGCTGTACTTTTGATTTTATTTCCAAATGAAAACCTTCAGGCAAATTTCTCTGAGAGTGAAAAAAATAATGTTTTAGCTGGAGATAAATTTTTTCCTTTCTCCCTCCTTTGATGAATTATTATGTTTTTAAACAACATAAATACCAACTGTCACTTATTGGGGGGAGTTCTTTTTTATCCAATTGTTCGAATAGCAGTTGGGGGTGTCCAAGTTACGGATTTCCCTACCAGGTAGATCAATAATCTTTTCAAACACTCTGCATTATATATTAGAAAGGGAAAATTGAAATAGGCTAATTTCAGTTCAGCTTGTTGAATCCTGTGGCTTTGTAAAATGCCATTGGTGCTACAGGGAGGATGAGAAGAAATCAGATATGACTGTTCTCTTCAATGAACTTACCTGGTTGGGAGGATGGAGTAGTTTCTATGCTAGAATGTGGGGCCTGAGTAGTGGGGTTTTTTAACCCCACTGAGTAGGTTATGGGTTTGTTCTTTTTAATTCAAGTTTATTGGGGTGACAATGGTTAGTAAAGTTATATAGGTTTCAGGTGTACAATTCTGTAATACCTCATCTATATATCACATTGTGTGTTTACCACCCAGAGTCAGTTTTCCTTCCATCACCATATATTTGATCCCTTGTGGTATTTTTTTTTTAAACAAAAAAGATATTTTGTTAACTGATAAAAGAAGTGAATGAAAAGTTTCTTTAGAGAAGGAACTTTATTTTCAGGGAATGTCACTCAGCATACAGTAACATTTACCATTGCACATCATTTACCAAATGCATACCTTTAGACGTTTTAGAAAATTTTATATAAACAAGATTTATCTTTTTACATGCATAATAACACTTCTTATTGCTTGCCTTTTCTGTTAGTTTCAGGATAATATAAGAAAAGCATGCAAATGCAGATATTTTGCTCCAATACTTTTTGGTATTTATTACAATATCATTTTCACTGAGTTTATATCAATGGTAAAATTGTACCAGTTAGCCTTATACTATCAAAGTATATATTGGGAGGTTTCTGCAGTATTTTGTGTAAATGATCATCTCATTGGGTATGAACAGAGGGCCTTTGTTCTGTTTGAACTCTTAATGTTTTATTAGAAATAGATTATGTAATTTGGTCTTTTAGTATATTTTAAGCTTTTTAAAATTGCAACAAAAAATACATTTTACACTGTGACCCAGGATACACCTGGAGATATGTGCCTGTGTGCTTATGTTATATGAATATATAAAATATATTATTGAATAGTTTCATGAAATAATATTTGCTCTTACTGTGCCTGATACACTCTAATATTTTGTTTCATTTTTTTTAAACGCTGGTTGAAATTATCAATTGATTTCATGAACTACTAATGAGTCACAACCTACACTTAGGAAAACATTACTTTAGAATGGGTTTTGAATAGTGTTCCTTAAAATCCTAACCGGATATAAGAGTTGCAAAAGAAAGATATATTTTTCAAACTACCTGAGGAACTTATTCCTTGTTTTTGTTTGTTTTATATATTGCTCTTCTGGTTAAGATTCTTTTAAAAACATAAGCTACAATGCTTAAAGTTAGGAAACCACAAATCTAAGTAGTTACTATTTAATTCAGTTTTTTGGAATTGAAATGTGGTGGTCCATGTATTATCTTATTTTCTTAAAGACCCTGCATGAAATGTGATTTTCTGGTCTTATCATAGATTTTGTATATTTTTCTTTGACTTATATTTCATGCCACACTTACGTATACTGTGCATTCACACTGTGCACCGATCAACTTTCTAGTTTTGTTCAGCATTTTTCATAGGGAAGGTTCTCGAGGAGGGAAGTTTTTCAGATGTGTGTCCATAAGCAGATCCGAGGGAATTCCTCCCAGTTTGATGCTGCAGTTGTTTCTTGTACGCTTGATTAGTTATGTGCTCTTACCTCATTGCCTGTCCATGTCTTGCCTTTGCTGGGTTCAAATGATGGGAAATGATGGTAACAGTCACAATAATGAAAAGTAAAACATCTTTGACTCCTGGTGCTTATTAATTACTGCATTTAAAGCCTTCCTTAGGGTGTTTTGTGCTAGTGTACTGAGATCGAATCATCGCACCATCACTAATAATTAATTCTGTATTTGAAAGAGAGCATGCAGTTTTACATATAGTTTAACAATAACTTATACTAGAAAAGAGTGGGGGGGGAATATTCTTGAATTCACATATAATAGCCTATGTGTTGAATAATGTTGGACTTTTAAAATGGTGCTAGATTTTTAATAACTTTGCAAATGTTACTTTTTGCCTCTTTATACTTCTGATTTTGGAAATACAACCAACTTTCATCTTTTTCCAAAATCCAGTATGATCCTCTCAAGGATAGATCATCAAGACTCTCATCATTAGTACGTAGTGCATGACTGTGTTAAATGTAGATTTACTTTATAAACACCTGATGATGCTAATCATAGATTATGACTAACTTTCATAGGTTGGTTATGATGTTTGGGGGGAAACATGACTAACAAAGTAAAAACTGTTGTTTTGCAATTGTGACATAAATTCACATTTGAATAATTTTTTCTTTTAGAATTTTAGGATCAGATAAAAATCATTTTCTGTATTCAGTACTAAAATTGCTAGTAGTATATTTCCTTAACATGATGAACCACCCCGCTGACACATACTCATTGCCCTAGCAGGGTTTTGATACACACTGAACTATAGTAGCACAGGCCCAACTGTGTTGGGTGTCACAAGCTAGCAGGTGTGAAGTTGTTAAACAGAAAACAGCAGGCAGTGACAGGTGGCACGTGAGACATCAGTGTGGCCACTCATTTTTGCTTGGTTTGGTTTGTTTTTTATGGTAGGTCATTTTTGTCTAGGAAGTTACCCGATAGCATGTTTTTGTTAGGTTTATATCATGTCAAAAGATTGCCTGAGTTTCTAGACTATATAGACATCTCTTGAAATGTTCAGGGTAATATATAAAAGAAAAGATATGCATATTCAGAAAAAGGAAAAATTAGTTTATGATCACTGACTTGGGATCTAGCTGTGTCTATGTCAGTAGATCTGCCGAGAGCCGCCTTTATCGGTAGGACACGTCTAGCTGCACTTCCTTATTTCAGGTGAGCAGTCCATACCTAGATTGGATTTCTCGTCCACCAGTTGATCAGTTTGGTAGTATTCTGTCCTTTATTCCATCATACACACTTGGCTCTGTACTCCTGGAGAAGTTATGTATGGAGACAGTGCTATGATCAGAGCACTCACATGTAAGGTTATTGTCTAATATGCTGCTGCTACACGGGGTACCAATACCATCTTTGCTCTTTTCCCCTGAGCAGCACATGCCATGGGACCAGCTAACTTGGGCTACGAGTCGTGTCTGGGCCAGAGCAACATCCTGTTCTTTGTTATCTCATCCTTGCTCTTGTTGATCTAACGTGTTGCTTTTTGGCCTTTAGATAAAAGAAGATTATAGAAGGAGGTGGACTTTCTTGTCATCCACACCTTTGGAAAGAGGATAAAGGGACTCCAGTGAGGTGTGGGGTGAAGCTCCCCACAAATACCCTGCCTGGCTGTGTTCTTATTGAGTGGTTTGTTGTTTTGGTCTTTTTTAAGCTGGCTAGACACTGAGCTGGATGGCACAGGAGTAGGTGAGGGAAAATGGACATGTGTAGAGAGGCATCATATCAGCCGGTCAAGTGCAATGAATCATTGACTAACAGATGCAGTAGGTTGCATGTAGACTACTCTGTATCTCACAAGGACCTTTTGTGTACAATTTTATTAACTTATTTTTAAAACTTCACTATATGACCATTAACCTTCAAATATTTAACTTCAAATATTTACTTCCAGAATCATTCTTACAGTCACTCTTACGGAATGAAGAAGAGATCATCTGGTTCTCGTAAAGACCCACTGGTTAGTTTCGTTCTGTCTCATAGCACAGCATCGTGTGCTGCTGTAAAAGTCTCTGGTTACTCTGGTTACTTAAGAATTATGACTGCTTTGGTGTGCTCAGGCATTATTGAAATTTGATAATATATCGAAGCTTGATTTCTCAGAACCTATTTTAAAATAATTTTATTTTCATTTATAAGATTTAATATTAAGTTAATATATGCTAACCCAGGGGCTAGAGTTAGATAGGTGTCACAAGAAGTTCATTAGCAGTGTATTTTCATTTATGAACTGTCCTTTCGTATATACCTCAAGAATAGGCTTAGTGAGAGTCTTATCCTTATTTTAGAAATTAAAATTTATTTAGTTGTGATATTATAGATAGTACCAAGCTCACAAATAGGTTTCATTCTGATGGTTTGTTAATAGGTCAAATTTGAGGAACTTGGAATGAATTACGTGGTAGGAACATTAAGGTATGCAGTGGCAGAGTTCCCATGCTATCTTGCAGAAAACTCTAACTTACACGTAGTGTAATTCAACTGCGGAGCTAATAGTGCTCTTCATTTTAGCCACCTTGCTGAACAACATTTCTATGGGGGAAAAATGTGTCCAGAACGCCCATTTGGGGTACCAGGAACACCTCTTTCCTGTTAGTCCACCACTGCACTGGCAGAGGAAGTGCAGTCCTGAGCTCCCTGCTAATTCAGGGTTCCCATGGTAGGGACCCTGACCATTGCTGGGGTGGAGAGAAGTTAGGAGACTGGCTGGTAGAGGAGGAAGGAGGAGAGAATCTAATGGAGAGAACATAATGGAGGGTCTACTCTTGGGAGCTCTGCGGAAAGGAGAGGTACCTCACTGAGGGTGTGGTGCAGAAAGGCAGACCAGGAGTGGCAGGGGTGGGGTAGGAGTAGGGGTGTCCCTGATACAGTGTCAGCAGTGGAGAAGGAGTCTGTCAGTCAGGGATTGCCTACATTTTCTCAACCTTGAGTTAAAAAGGTGGCTGGAGAAGTTAGGAAGGGAATGCCCCCGCCCCCCTCCCCACCAAGTCATCACAATATATGAAATTATTGTTTTGTGAGTATTGAAAATAACTGCCACAGATGTTTTAGACCAAACCATACTTAGTGTGTTCTCTCTCTTTGGTAATTGAATTTGATCAGTGTATTTTGACAAATAATGGGACTAGGAGAACTTTGGAAAAAATGACTATTTAATAATATCTGTGGCCTTGCCAAGTGGATTATAAAAGTGGTAATTATTCAGTTGTCCTGGATTTTTCAAGGACATTCCTCTAAGTATGACATTAGAATAAATCACTTATTATTTCTAATCCATTTTGCCTGAGGGTTTATACTCGTTTTTAAAGTAAAAAGAAAAAAAAGTAATTGGTTTGAAAACAGTTAACTTTAAATATTAATCCTTTTTGAGAAATTGAAATTATTATTTTGACGTCTAGTCAATACGATTCAATGCTTTAAAGTCATTGTTTTGTAGAAAAACGGATTTGGCAATAACAGATTTTGTCTTTGTGCTCTGTTAGGTTAACAACATTTAACTTAAGAAAAATGTGTTTAATTTTGCTTTTTGCAGAGTGGCCTCTACTTTGACCAGAGAAACTATAGCAGTCTTAGACATAGCAAACCCACCTCTGCCTACTACACTCGGGTTTGTCTCAAGTTTTCTGCCTTCATGTGTTTTATCCAACTTTCACACATTTCTAATCTTTTTTGTATTTTGAGTAGTTAGAACTAATCTGTGATTGGCTGTGTCCACTGTACTAGTTTGTGGTAATTGAATTCACATAGTCCGTGTGTGTAAATTGAAACAGTTGAACTATTGCATCCCCATGTTTGGAAACAAGTACCATTTTTTTCTAATGAAAAACATATAATATACAGAAAAGTTCAAGGAATTGCATAAGAACCACCCAGTACCTACCACTTAGATTCTACAATTAACATTTTACTCTATTTCCTTTATCATATAATTATGTCTATCGGTCCCTCTGTCCATCCATCAATCCATCTTTTTTTGGGGGGGATGCATTTCAGAATAAGTTGTGGGCATTGGTACACATAATGTGGATGCCCTTTTAATAAAAACTTACGTGTGAAAATTTAAACTACAAATGGGAGGAGAATTATTTGTTCAATGTTAGAACCCTTGTTTTTTCCAAGGCATTTGGCACATCATACATCTAAAACACATTAAATATATGGCAACACAGTACATTTAAAATAATTCAGTTGTCAAAACCTGCACACACAACTTAGATACTGTTATTTTTCCATGTCTGATTAGGCTTGGTAAAAAGGAACTGAAAGTTGGGTCTTCAAATGACATCAAGAAGAGAAAGATTTAATTCCTTTTTTAAAAACGCTGTGCCTTGGTGGTGCATGGATTGATTGTGACCAGTACAATTTATCTGATTAAACTAAGGCACTTGTTTTAAAATACAGGTTTTTTTCCCCTAATCTTTTCCAAATGCTTAGAAAAGAGTGTTTAGAGTGATAACTCAGAGCTCATTTACCTGGTGCCCCAATAATCAGGCTAAGGCCATTTGGAGTCTCTCATGAGGTCATTGAAATCATCACAGGAGCTGCTGATGACTGGGATGTGGCCACGGTTTGCCACAGTCCCCGTGCCAAGGGCCTCTTTTCTTGAGTGTGTTCTTAGGATGCTGGCTCATCTTCTCACATCAATGTGCAAATACCAATAGGACTTAGACACGTTTATAGAAAACTATTACAAGCGCTTTTCTTATCCCTTAAAATTGGCATTTAAAAAAATTTTAATGATTAAGTTTTTCTCACTTTATGTGTTACTTAAGTACCTTAAGCACTCAGGAATTGCTAATGAATTATGGAGTATAACATAAACATTAGTCTTCTGGTCTCATGATGGTGAGACCAATTCACATTCATATTCTCTTTTTCTGGCTTAATTATTTTGTTTTTGTTTCTCAGCAGTCTTCTTCCCTGTACAGTGACCCTCTGGCAACATCTAAGAGTACCAGGGTTAGTACTTTCTGAGGAATGTGTTGCCTTCTAAGCTACCAGTTGCTTTCCTTTGGGTTAAATCATGCGCTTTTTTCATAGGCCTCCCCTACTGCAGATTCTGGTCTGCTGAGAAGTGCCAGCCTGGTTTGTATCTTCCTCTTCCAACGTGTGTACTTCTGGTGGGGCCCCTGGCTCGGTGCTGACTCTGGCTTGACAACTGTCCTCCAAAATAATCAAGGACATATGGCTTTAATCCTATGTATACTGCAGAGTGTGCTGCTTGGCTTAAAATCCAAAACTTTAGAGGAGTGAAAATAAGCGTATTTGCTTCACGGTGGTAGATACTGCTGGCTGTTGGTGGGCCCTGGCATAGAATTGGTTTCCTGTAGAGAAGATAGATTTGCATGGGTCCCACAATACTTGCGTACTTTTGTGAGATGGCTGCCCGTGCTTGGGATGTCATATTTTTCTTTGGGACCACTGTGGCCTTGGCCACATTAATAATAGGCTCTAATAAAGCAAGCTGACTAGAAGGCAAAACAATAGCTCTTTGTAATGTGCGAGTTATGAGTTGGTGCTCCCAAGCTGTTTGTTGTGTTGTGCTCTGTTCGAGTGGACTAGGATCCTGAGGCTTTGTAACTTAATGTTATTGTGACAGTGGGCAAAATGCTTTGTACCTCATTTACCTTTTCTGCTCTATTTCCTCTTTTGAGAATAAATTCATAAATGTTAGTTCTCCTAATGTCATAATGTGATGATTAAAGGAAATACTGTAACCAGCATGCTTTTTAAATGAAGTGTGAGCTTGACTTTTTAATGAGACTGATCTGGGAATGTATGCATATAAATGAGTATTATCACCGTTAGAGTCTTCACCTTGGGAGGCTGTACACTTATACCATTCTGTTTTTTTGGGTTTTTTTTTTAAGCTGAGCCATCCTGCCACCTGTTGGCAGCTCAGCAGCAGCTCAGCTCGGGCCGGGAATCGAACCGGCAACCCTGTTGCTCAGACCTTGCACTCTTGAGTGAGCTCTTAACCAACTGAGCCACTTGGCCGGCCCACTTACATCATTCTTCAAAGCTTTTTTGTAACTGAGTACTACAAAGAAGTTATGATATTCTCAAAATAACTTTGATGCTGAATAGATAAATGTATTTTCTTTGTTCTTTAGGTGTCATTGTATGATGGTGGATTATATAACCCTTATGGTTCTCGAACTGTAAGTCTAACAAGGGGGAGGTGGTGAGGAGGGTGACGTGTAGGTTGGCACAGTTTACTTAGAAAGAAAAAGTCATTTAATCTGACCTATAATTACTCTCCAAGCTGTGATCCATCAGCTAGCCAATTGTGACTCTCACCCACACTGCGAGAAAGTGCATGCTGGAAAGCATGGCTTAAAGTACGAGGGGATTTAAATACAGAAGCCTCTTTTCTTGTTCATTACTTCCTCAGAAAGAGAATGAGAGAGAGTAGACTTTTCAAGGCATTCATCCCCCTCCCTCCTGCCCTAGGCTGCTGGATCTTGAAAGTGGGAGTGTGGTGGAATCCTAGACCAGGAGTAACAGCTACCTTCACCCTGGGAGTTGTTGGGGCAGGGGCAAGTTAGGTCCACGGCCACTTATATATTCCCAGCAGGACAAGGAGCTGATCATTATTGTAAAACCTTTTTTCTTGGAAACCTTATAGCCATCTGAATACAGTTATTATTCATCAAGAACCAGTTCAGCCCGAAGCAGTCCTGTGGTGAGCAGCCCAGCCTCTGCATGCTTTATGGAAACTTGTGGTTGTGTCATTAATCTGTACTCACAGTTTAGAATATTGAGAATGTGGTGTGTTTCACTCTCTTGTGCACGGATTACTGTTTTCCTTAAGTACACAAATTCAAGTACTAATTTGCCCTAATTGGTGGTTTCTGTATGAATGGGACTTAGCATGTAATTTCCTAAATGAGCCTAGAACCAGAGTCATTAGAATTTTTAAAAACTTTATATTTCATTGTCCTTGGTGTGGAACTCCTTGTCTCTTCAGCGGTCATAATTCAGTATATGAGTTGGCTACCCTGTGTTTTTTCCTGCCGTCTCTGTTTCCTGCATTGAGCCATTTTACTCGCTTGCCAGCACTTCCATCGGTGGAGTGGAAGAAGAAATAAAACTAGTCAACTTCTAAAAAATTGTTACATGAAAGATAAAACTGGGACAGTTCTAATCACTTTCTGGAGTATTAAATTTTTTTTACTTTATAGAAGTAATATTAGCTTAAGGAAAGTCCAAAGTAAAAGTCTTCTGACCTTTTCCCTCTATTTCCATTTCTCAAATGCAACCTCCGTACTTGTGTATTTTTTCAGATACTTTTATGCACATATGAACAGTATCTGTATGTATACGTACTGCCTCCTGCTTGTTTTCTTCACCTAACGTATCTTTTTGTATTAATACATAAGGATTTATTTCATTCTTTTTTTGACATTTAAAAGATTTTTAAAAGGTAAACCATGTCCCTTACTTTTTCCACTGACTGCCTTTTGGAGTTAGTTTTATGTCTGCACTTTTTTTTTCTTTTTTTGCACATTCTTTTTAATGGCAATATGTTATTCTGTTAGTGCATGGACTGTACATTTCAAAAATTACTCCCTTAATGATGGACATTTAAATTGTCAGATTTTTGCTACTACAGACACTTGTACAATGAATATTCTTACACCAGTATATTTTTGTGTACTTTTATGAGTAGATCTGCAAGGTAAATTTCTGATCATGAAATGTGTGTGTGTGTGGGGGGGGTCAATATACATTTAAATTATGATGTATGTTGCTATATTGTCCACCAGAAAGACTACTAATTTACAATTCTAATAGCAAATTATGACTTTAGGAGCTACCTTATTACCCTTGACAATGTTAAGACAGGTTACTTTGTGGAGTAGGTGAGCTTTATGGGGTTTCTTTTATATATATGTTTGGCTGAGGCCTCCTGCCATTTCTAAGTGGCACTTCTCAAAAATTCCACTCCTATAGTTAACAAAAAATTACTCAGGGATGTTTGAGGAAATAAAAGCTTTTTCACATAAGGAGGAAGTTTACTTTTAACCCACCCAGTAATAAAATTCCACTTGGCAAGTCTTGAGCCTGGTAGCATTTTTAATAATATCCCAAGTGTGATGGCCTCTTGCAAACAAAATTATTGTAATGTATTTTCAATCAAGTGTAGGTTCTTGTCCTTTTGTGCTGGCTAGAAGCTATTTCATTTGCAAGTTGGGGTCAGAATCATTATCTTAGTGATGCCAGAATGGTTTCTTAGTGATGTCATAATGGAGATAACCTACACATACTGAAGATGAGTCTGCTACTCCTGGTAAAAAAGGAAGAAAACTGTAAGGTAATGTTAGAAGTCCACTAGTTGCATAAGAATGAATAAAGGAAAATAAGAATCATCATTTCAGTGTCCTTGCTGGTAGGAAGCTCTGTCTTTTACTTATGTTATTTCACTTTAAAATATTCTTTCATTTTCTCTCCCAAACTGAAATAATAAATATATTTATTGACCCCCTAATGGGATCCCAGAGGGCCTAGAGGTTTAAAAATCTTGAAATCCCTAGCTGGCTTTGGCTGGTTTACCTATGACATCCTCCCTCCCACCTTCTTTAATTTAATTTAAAATAAAAGACATAGTTCTATTTTATTCTTTGTGCTTTTTGGAAGTATCTTTTGATTTAATGATAGTTCGTTATACCTTGAAACACTTTTTGTATTTAATGGTGCACAATAGGTGGTGCCCATTATAATGCTCATATAGAGTACTTATCTGCATGTTTCCTGAAACCTTACCTAATGTGCTTATAGTCACATAAGACCTATAGTGAAATTGCATCTTTTTCATTATCTGCTTTTAATATCTGTAGTTTATCGATGATGACACTGCAAGTATTGCGTCTTCCGGTCGTTCCAGTCGTGGGCGAAGGGAGAGTGTGGTGAGCGTGGTTTGCAGACACATACAATAAGCTGTAAAATTGCAACATTGTGTGATCACATGAAATCTGTTGGAAAGTGAAATTTGCATTTGGCAAAATGAGCATTTTCCTCAAATTTAACTTTTATGAATAATTTGCCTTCAAAAATGTGTCCCTGAGAATATATACTCGTATTCTCTGTGGGCTATGTTAGCTTTCATTAATATCTTGCCTTTCACACCTCTTATGTGCTAGTCATTGTGTATTTGAAAGATTTTCACGTTTTATTCTTTGTTGGCTGTTTTATCCACCTGTATTTATGTGCACAGTTCACCAAAAACAGTTACTCAAGCAAAATTAATGCTTCTACATTGTGGAAAACTCATAACTATGGATTACAAGTCATGTTGCTATCAGTTGCTTTCTTTGCTGTATATTTAAATTTAACCATTGTTTATACACCTTTTCAGGCCTGTGAACTTTTTAAGAGTTTTTTATGGCAAAGTTTAAAAATTCTGGTCTTAGAATTCAACTGGAGTAATAATTGTAGATGCAACAAATAGCTATGTTAAAGTACAAATTATATAATGTCAGGTTATTCTTTTGATGAAGCCGGAAAGTTTGCAGAGAGCTGATGACATTTTTGCTGTATTTAAGAATTGATTTGGAAATTACATTGGCAAGAATGGTGTGTCAGCTTAGAACTAGAAAAAAGAGCCCAATAACTAAGAGGCTACAAGTCCTTTAAGAAAAAAAGGCCATTTAATAGGAGTCATGTTTTGTGAATGATTGGAAACCTGAAGTTTCAGAGAGAAGGGGAGCACCAAATGTTTGTGAGATTTGTTGTCAAACACCCAGTGATCTAATAATTAAGGCAGTTGTGGTCCATTGGCAAGCCACTGGATGCTCATACTTAGAGCTGAAGGAGAAAGAACAAGGAACTACACATGAAAGCACCTTCGAAAGTGATGGAGTTGAAAGCCAGGGCCTTTAAAGTAATGATGCCTGGCCTTGAACCACTTCTACACCTATTAGTGTGTTAAAGGCAGTTTCTTTTTACAATGGGGATGTTACTGACTATCTTTGTAGGTAGGCTTAATATATGGATTCAATGAATTACTATATAAAAAGTAACTATCAAAATTCTGAGCCACGAGGTACCAATAAAATGTTAGGTATGTGTAAATCTAAGTTGTAATACTGTTACTATGAAGAAAAATACTACTGCTTGATCGGATTAGCCCTTAGTGAAACTTTATAGTTGTAAGCTTCTTTGTCACTGTGGATGGGCTTCCAAATTCTCTTCCTGGAAGGGAAGAGTTTTTAATTTTTTTAAGCAAGAAAATCAGATGGAGCTGAGGTAAGGAATAGCTATGAGTGAGGTAAAGAATATTTATTATTTATTAATTCAACACATGTTTATGGGGTACTTATTATACCCGAGGCACTGTGTTAAGTGCTGGAAATAACCAGACAGAACAGATTTCTGACTTCATGGCGCTTACGTCCTAATGAAAGAAATAGAAAGTAGACTAGTAAAGAAAAAATCAAAAAGAAAGTAACCCCAGGACTGTAAAGAGAAAAAGCAGTTGATAAGATAGGCAACTTTGAGGAGTGTGTGTGTGTGTGTGTGTGTGTGTCTTTGGATGGAGTGGTCAGAGAAGGGTTCTCCAAGGGAAGTGACTTTTGAGCTGAGACCTGGAATGTCAAGGAGCAGCTGCTTGAAGAGCTGTGAGAAAGCTTTCTAGGCCAGTGCCAGTCTCAGGTGGGGAAAGACCGGGTGTGTTTGGGGAACCAGAAAGAGGCCAGTGTAGTTCTTTTTCATTATTTTTTTCTACAGTTCCTGGTCTTGAGGAATGTGAAAGAGGATACTGTGGAAATTGGGTAAAAGGTACAGTAAATACCCTGCAAATAACTCTGCATTCAGCATATATGTGCTCAACAGAGTTGACGGCCATAATGAATTATAAATTTTATGAAATATAGTAGAAGCTTTAGGTAGATATTATCCTAGAAACCGCCCTGGTGAGGGTGATGCATGTCTTAAACATGGGAGACTGCTGGCCATCAGGCAGTCAAGGATCTCTATAGAACTCTAGCGAGGATGAATGAAAGCTTGTTTGACGGAGCTGTGATCTCATTCCGGAACCCCTTCACGTTTCTTTTTACTTTTTTTTTTTTTTACATTTGTGTTAGATGTTTATTTTATCACATACCACAAGAGATGATCCATGTCAGTTTTTCCTTTCTTTGCTAAACCAAGTATAATCAGACAGGAAACTCATCAGATCGCCATCAGACAGGAAACTCTTTCTAGGTTCTTCAGTTGGGGAAAGAGGCTCTTCTTCCTCGGGGTGGCACACGTCCTGGGAAATCGCCCTGCTGTTTGGCCCACAGCAGTCACTCACGTGCAGGGTTCTCAAAGGTCCTCTGTAGGCAGCATCTCTGTCACCCCAGCCAAGTTTGGGAATGGCAAAGGCCTTTTTGCCCACCCTGGTAGCCCTCCCACCAAAAGGCCAATTCCCTGAGCACTCTGTTTCCATGAGGCATGACACCGTTCTCACTGGAGACACCAGCATGTCCATCTCCTCCCCAAGGCCCCAGAAGTCCCTCCCCACTTCCTCGGGCTGCTTCCACCTTGTCCCTTTATCCATACTTATCTGAATTCTCTCCACACTCCCGAGTCCAGTAAAATTCCCTTCAGGTTTGTAGACTTTCAAAACCTGCAGCATGGCAACTGCTTTATGAGGCAAGCGGGCCCAAAACCCAGGGAAGGGAGTGTGTCTCCTTTATTGTTGAAGTAGCTTTAGTGCAGTAGGTACTTTGTCTCATTTCATGATAACTTTATCACACACTAAAAAAAAAAAAAAAATTTTCCCCCTCTATTCCAATGTTCTTATTTTTTTCTTCTCTCTCTTTCTAACTTTTAAAGTAACTCACTTTTCTCTGACTGAAAGGTTTCTGCCGCTGATTATTTTAGTCGCTCCAGCCGTAGGAGGAGCGTAGTCTCTGAGGTGGATGACGTCAGCATCCCAGATTTGACCAGCGTGAGTGTATCGCATGGGGTGGCTCTGTTGTCTTAGGCTTGTGACTAACAGCTAATACGTCAGCCATTTTAAAATTAGGAACTTAATTTACTGCCTAGGAAATACTTATTTAAACACATGAGCAAAAAATGTAGTTATGTTTTGTTTTAGAATGTATATATTGATATAGCCTAATTTTTAAATAAACTTTTTTTCTATATAAATTTTCCCTTAGAGAACCCATCAACAGCTCAAACAATTGCAATATTTTGCAAATTTATTTCTTCCCTTTTCTGTCCCCTTTTTTCCTGAATTATTTTAAAGCAAATCCCATATATCATGTCATTTCCCAATAAAATAGTTCAGTGTATATCTCTAATTGAGAATTTTTTCATACTCACTATATCATTGTCTTATCTAATTAATGAATTAAAAATAATTCCTTAAAACCATCTAACGCCTAGCCCATATTTAGGTATTCCTGATCGGTCTTAAAAATTTTGTTACCCTTTTGTTTTGGTGAATCTTTAAAGTTCAAGGTAGAATTTGAAGATTGAACAATAAAATGTACTACTTAGTAAAGTGTCACTAATTTATAGTAACTGGGAATAATCTGAATAGAGTTTAAACGTTTGGATTATGGCATTCTTTGAAGAAATGCCAACGCATTGCTTTCACATTCATTGGAATGAATTTAGGAAAGACTGCTCAGTAGATGCCTAGAGGCATTTGTCTGAATGAAGAAACCCCACCAACAGATCTCCACCTGCCTGAGTTATCTAACAGCTTGATTTTCTTTCTGTGACATCTCTTTGTTGCTGGCATTCATGTTTTGTCTGTAGATCAACACTCTATGATTAATCAAGCAGGCCAATGAATGAGAGGCAGCGTTTCTTTATATATATATATATATATATATATATATATATATATATATATATAATTTATTGGGGAACAGTGTTTTTCCAGGACCCATCAGCTCCAAGTCAAGCTGTTGTTTCAATCTAGTTGTGGAGGACGCAGCTCAGTGGCCCATGTGGGGATCGAACCGGCAACCTTGGTGTTATGAGCAATGCGCTCTAACCAACTGAGCTAACTGGCTGCCCCAGAGGCAGCGTTTCTTAACAGGAAAATTAGACAGATTTTTTGTTTGTTTGTTTGTTTTTAAGATTTTATTGGGGAATTGGGGGGAGTGGAACAGCATTGGGGAATCAGGAAAGAAGAACAGACAGGTAGACAAATTGCTGTTTTGTTCTTCAGTCTAGTTGTGGAGGACGTCGCTTCACTGGCCCATGTTGGTATGACCATTGTGCTCTTCCTGCGTGAGGCAATTGGTCGCCGGTCATTGGTCGGCTGCTCACAGCGGCTCCTGGTAGCTCACACCTGCTACCAGCTGCTCACGCTGGCTGCCAGCCACTCACGTAGCTCACAGCAGCCCGCTGCAGCCCTGCTGAAGCCTACGCCGTTGCCGGCGACTCACGGCAGCCCAGCTCCAGGTCGAGCTGTTGTTCATCATCTTAGCCGTAGAGGGTGAGCGTCACTGGCCCTCAATGTGGGATCCGAACCGCAGCCCTGCTGCTCAGTGCTGGTGCTCCCAAGCGAGCTCTTAACCAGCTGAGCCACTTGGCCGGCCCTAGACAGATTTTTTTAATGGAGAGATAATTATTTATGTTTAGCACATCACTGATTGTATTTAAATAGCTATTTCTGAAGGACTTTAATCCTAGAAAGGAATTTTAAGTGTGGTCCGTAAGTATTCTGGATTGGTGGCTCAAACCTGGCCATGCAACAGTCCCACCAGCCATGGGTCAGACCAAGGAGTCTCTGCACGCAGTTAGCACGTGTTTCCCCTGAAATACTGCCTCTTTTATAATTTGTGCAGTACCTTGTTTCTCATAGATATAAACAATTTTAATGTATTGTGTGTACTTTTTCTCTTAAAAATTTTGAATTCTATTAGCCTCTAATTTGTGATGTCTGAATTAGTGGTTTTGGCCTCCTTACATGTATTTCTTGGCAATTTATTTTAGTAACTACATAGAGGTGAAAAGGTTGACAATGTTTTAAAAATCTTCCCCAGCTTCTACTAATCAAAAATGACTTTTTTCCCCCAGGTAGTTATTTTGAATAATTTACATGTTTTTAAATAAAAATCATGCATATTTAGGGTATATACCATGATGATTTGATACACATACACATACAATATATAGTCTATATGTATATCAAATCATCATGCTGTATAGCTTATCACAGAAACAAAAGATTCTTTAGAGCAAGTTAGCAAATCTGGTCAGTCCCTGTTATTTTATATACACACACACACATTTTTGGGGGCACTCTCTGTATTTTGATTTTTATATTTTTTAATGATTATCTAAGAAACCTATATGATATTCTTAATTTTGCCTCTTGGCAAAATCTAAAATATTTGCTGTCCCCTTGTCTATATCAAAATTTTTTCTCAAATACTTTTTCTTTTAAAGGGTATACTATAATCCGCTCACTGTGGACAAATTAAAAAATGATCTTGATGTTGGTAAGAGTTCTCCCCCCACAAACACTTTTTTCAAAGATAAGCTGTAAATCTGCATTTTTATGTGAAATATTCTGATTTTAAAATGCTGACCATAAGTTCAAAAATTTAAACGATACTTTCTGGCTTCCCTATTGTGGATCAAATATATGTGTACAGTGTGCCAGTTTGTAACTTCTGAGCTTGGAGGTACTGAAAAAGGGTGCCAGGCCCTGATTTGGCAAGATTCATTATACAGTGTTTATTGTTGCTCTAACCTCTTGTGTTTTCTGCATTGTTTTCCTTTCTGTCCAGAGGCCAGGCTAGAGTAAAGGAACAGACTATATTAACTTCACTTTTACTGATTGTTAATAATTAGACCATTTCTGAATGGAATCCTCAACCAATTTGGCTTTGGGAGATTATTAAAATTAATTGTTCCCTTCCGTTTTGTGTTTGGAGAATCAGATCTTCTGTTTTCTGGGTTGTTTTTTTTTCCAAACAGTTTTTGAATAGAATTATCAACTCCGTTTATATAAATTAGAAGTTAACAAAACATTTTAATTTAATGACTACATTAAACAAACTGTACTATAATGCTTTAAAATTATCTGTCAAATTAAGGAGCTATGTACTGAAACAAGTTTAAAGGGCCTCTTAGTCAGAGAATAATAAATATCTTTTAAGAAGAAACAAGTTTCAAAGCTTGACAAGGTATATATATTCTAAGAAATACTTCTCACATGTGCTGATTTCAACAAATGATCAAGGAGTTTCGATTTCAAGAGAAACAATCTGTAATGTCAAGAGCAAAGCATTTTCAGATGTCCCAGACATAAATAAGGCAAAGGCATTTATCGCTGACTATGGGAAAGATTATATTTAAGACTTTGTTTACTACTAACTTTGTTAAGTTGGTAATTTGAAATTCTTTAAGAAAATGTTACATTTGAACTTTAAACACTCAAATTGGAATATAAAGTTTGCCATCATGTGCTCTTTTTTGCACATTAATACTAATATGAAATATTACGAGCTTGTTAGCTAACTTTCTGTTCACAGCTATTAAAAAAATATCCTTTTCTTGATTGGAAAATCACCTGTTTAATTAGAGTACAATAGCATAATATTAGAACTTTTGGAGACTAGTAGGCTACAGTCAACATTAATGAGCAAGTCCTGATGGGCCTTACTAGGGGAAAATAAAAGTTTTGCTTACTCCTTTGTTTTTTTTGTTTTTTTTTAATTTTAATCTACCTTTTTATTAGCCACTTTCTTTTTTTTAGCAATTTGATTTATTTTTATTCTTTTTCTCTATTGAAGTTTATTTTATAGAATTGTGATTATACAGTACATACAGTTTGTTTTCTGATTTTTCACTTACTAATCTTATAATCATTTTTCATATTAGTGCATATTCATCTTTTCTGTGTTATTTATATATAATTTTTTATAAAACATTTATCTTCTGCTTTTGGATTTGTCATGTTTCTTTATCCTGAATATTTATGCATTTTCTAGATCTCTATGTTTTCTAGATCTCTAATTACATGTTTTTTTATTGCTGAGCCTTGCTTTGTTTGTTTATTTATTTTAATTAAATTGGGTTGACAATTGTTAATAAAGTTCCATAGGTTTCAAGTGTACAATTCTGTAATATATCATCTATATATCACATTGTGTGTTTGCCACCCAGATAGACCTTATATAATTTTTAAAATCAGCTATAGTCATCATGTTTTACATTAGGTCTTCAGACCTTATTCATCTTACAGCTGAAGGTTTGTTCCCTTTTCAACCTGTCCCTATTTTATACTTTAATTTATTAAACATGACTAAATTTTATTCTATTTGAAAAGCCTTTTCAGGATCTGGCCATCATTACAGATATTAGCTTGTAGTTGCAATGTATCAATGTAGACCTCCTGGCTTTTAGAGCACTGAAGCTTTTAGAATACCAGGTTTCCACCAGCTTTTTGTCTCAGTGGAAGACAGTACAAAATGTAAGACAAAGGCTGAGGAGTGAGAACTGAAGAGTCTCTGGCCAAGTCACTGCAGCCAAAATAACCGGACTGCGGCATGGCTGCTCTAGGCATTTTTTTTGCTGGCTTAACAATCCCTGAGGCTTGGCACATCATCAATTTGGGTTGTGACAATTGGGATCTGTCAGAAGAGAGAGAAAGCAGTAGAGTCAACATTGCGACGGACTAGTTCAGTGATGCAACCTCTGAAATGTAAGATTATTCCAAGTTGACTGTCTATTAAAAAATGGGTAGATTTGGGGGTCATTTTTGTGGGAGGGGGATATGAGACAGAATTTCAGATGGACCTAGAAGAATGTTTCTGAATGCTGTTTTTCTCTTTAACTCATTAGTAGAAGAGAGTTGGAAGATACTCTGAGGAAAATAAGGCCATTTATTCAGATGTAGTATTTCTTTCACTTTGAAGAGTAACATTAAATATTAGATAATGTATTTTACTAGTATAGATGAAATGGAAGATTACTCCTTATTATGGCAAAAATTGCCAATATGGAAACTACTTTCATTGCCTGATTGTTATAAAACATTTCATATATGATTTTAGAAAAAAATCAATGTGAACTAAAATCAATTACTTTTTAGGGTATTATAGCAAGAAGTAGCAAAAAGAGTTCAAAGTCTAATATAGTATCTATATTACTGATATAGTAGTGCTCATAATGAAAGTCATTTACTGAGTGAGAAAATGAATGTTATAAATATGGGTGATGAAAAAGAACAGAAAACTTTCAAATATGAGGAAGTTAGAGAGATCTGAATAGAGCCAGAAATAATGACGTTTTGTGTTTTAATAATTAACTGAGGAAGGTTTTCATATCTCTGGAGTGTTGGTCTAGTAATTGGAGTCTGGGTATATTTTCATTTCATTAAATCTCTATGTGACTTTTTTCTTCTAATGGTAACTGGGACAGTATATACAGGTGAATAATATGAATACTGGGCATAAATTCACAAAATTGAGATCTGGTTGCAGCTCTGACATTTAGTAGTTATTCAACCTTCAGCAAAATCTTTCACCTCCAAATTTCTCTTTCCTTAGCTCAATCAGGGTATTGGACTAGATCTTTAAGGAACCTCCCTTTTTGAAACACTGTCTAACTCAAAGAGCCTTAAGGCCTATCAGCAGAAGATAGGATAACTCAGGTATGGTATGTCCGGATAATAGGATGTATGCAGCTCTTAAAATAGAGGTTAGTCTATAAGGATAGATGGGGTATGAGTCATTTATTCATTTATCCAACAAATTTTGAGTCCTTCTATATGCCAGGTGCTTTTGATGTTAGGAATACAGAAAAGAAGACAGACTAGAGCTTAAATTAAAGAGAGATCAGATAGTAAAATCAGTTAAATATATCACGGGGTCAGGGAGTGACAATTGCCATGAAGAAAAATGAAGTACTTTTTCTAATCCTTGAAGCTTGGTAAGGGGAAAAAGATATAGAATGTATTTGGGGCACTATTAGAATTCTTTAAAGATTTGGGAGGTTGCCCTTGCAGTAAGCACTGGAGGTCAGGGTATGATGTAGTAGGAGAAAGGCTTATTTCACATACTCATTTGTGCTGTTTCTTTTTTTTTGTTTTTCTCTTTTTGATACGAGTGCATGTATTACTTAAAGAAGAAAAAAAGACAGTTGACTCCTTAATGCTGTGGGGGAAAATTTTGTTGATATATTTAACATGCCAATTTGAACTTTTTGTGGCTAAGTATACTAGTCTTATCTATGTGTCCTGTGTCCTAATAATGTTTAGATAACAAAGTTTTTTGGCTTTTGGTTTTATCAGACTTTTCTTTTTGAAGTGTACAAGTCCTTTTTGTATTAACATTTGCAATGCTAAAACTGAAGGTTATGTATAGTTTTGAATATGTTCAAATACCAAGAAAAGAAAATCTGTCTAAAAGTTCCTTTTGCTAAAGGACAGCTTGCTCATTACTTCATGTCTTCCTTAGGGTAAGAGTTAAAATTCTTGACCTTTTGTCTTACGTATTTTAACTTTTATTTCAGTTTTAGTCTGTTTACCTTTAGGTTCAAAACATCAAGTGATCTTGGTGAACTCAAACGAGGTCATTCTTTTCCCCTAAAAAAATCAACATGCCTAAGCATCTTTGCTGATTTTTATCTCTGTTCTTTTCTAGTTGGATGAAAAATCTGACAAACAGTATGCTGAAAATTATACAAGAGTGAGTATATAAAGTCCTAAGGGAATTAAGTTCTCAAGGTCAATTAAACTTACTTTCCACTACTATTTCATTCTTTATTTTACTGCAATTGAACTGATGGAGATACTCTTCCTTTCCTCATCCATTTCCTGTCCTTGACCCCCAAAATTCCTCCGAGGTTGAATCATGTGAAGCACTGGGAAGAGAGAAGACACTGCATTCTATTTCCCTGAATGTCACCTCCTAAGCTTTTGGCTGTTGTTTTGACCTTCATTTCTCTAGAATCTGATCCTGAGAAGAAGCCATAAACATTGCAAATGAAGTGTCTTTGAGAATGGTGGCGACAAACTCTTATTTTTTTCCCCCCCTTAAGATAAATACATATAAATATATATATGTAAAAAATAAAATAACTCATTTTTGGGAGTTGCTTTGTGTCAAAGTCTCTAACAGAAATTATCAGGGTTAATTTTATGCTATACCCAAAAACGATATACCAGTTCTGTCCAATAGAAATATAGTACAAGCCACAAATGTAAGCTACATACGTAATTTAAATTTTTCTAGCAGCCACATTAAAACAGTAAAAAGAAACTAGTAAAATTAATTTAAATAATATATTTTATTTAACCCAAATATCCAAAATATTTCAACATAATTAATATGTAAATGTATTGAGATATTTTACTTCCCCCCCCCCCCGCACTAAACCTTTGAAATCTGGTGTGTATTTTACACTTAAAAAAAAAATATCAACTTGGACTAATCACATTTCAAGTGCTCAGTGCTACGGGCAGCTCAGATCTATGCCATTTATTAATCTAACAGCACAAGCTTCCATTTAAATTAATTGTAGGACAAGCAGTCTAAATTCATGGTGACACAGGGTGTTGTCAGTCTCAGCTGCAAATAGTATTCTAAAACTGCTCTTACATTTATCTGATGTACTTACCCCAGTGTTGTTTACAGTATAGCAAAGAAAAACTTAGAAAACGAATAGCTCTCACCCAAAACAATTTCCTTTTTCGTTCTTATGAATTCTAGATGCCAGTAAAGCGTTTGAGCGAATGAAGTTATGCATATAGTGCCTGAGCCCTTCTCTGGGTACCCCCTCCCCAAAGCCAATCTGAATTGCCTGTAGATTGCTCTTGGTAACGTCTCATCCACACTGTATTAGATCTCCTTTGCCACCCTGCCCCATTGTTAGTTTCCACAGCAAACATATGTTTAAAGAAACAAGACTTAGACGTGTTATATGTCTTTTCTCTAGCCTTCATCTCGCAATTCTGCCTCAGCAACGACCCCTCTAAGTGGAAACTCATCCAGGCGAGGAAGCGGGGACACCAGCAGCCTAATAGATCCAGACACCTCATTAAGTGAATTGCGGGTAAACTGAAATTTTTGGTTTGCTTTTTCAAAACAGTTTTTTGGCTTCTTTGTCATGTACTAGCATCCTGGAACTATTTAACATTTAATGTGACACAGTAGAAAGAAAAGGAGTTTGAGTTCTTTAAAAAAAATTGTTATTGCAGCTCAAGAATGTGACTTCGGTCTGAAAGGAAGGAGATTAGTTCATTCTTTTTTCTGTTCTCTTTCCTGAACGTTTGATGATATTGGAATGAGTTCTGCTAATTTAAAAATGGCAAAATAAAGCAAAACCTTTTTAATGTATGTAAAAGTAGCTCTCTCAGAAATAATTCGTCATATTTTAAATGGAAAATATGTGGATGTACAAGGAAACAGACTCTGGGAATTATTAGTCTTTTGAGCCATTATGGTATTATTTGGCTGCTTGAATACAGTTATCGCTCAATTTTTTATGATAAGACAAGTAAAATAATATTTGGGATAACAGAAATATCTGAATAATGAAAAGTTTATTTAAGCATTAGTTGCGTCTCCATTCTTATCAACCCTTTTATTTGAAAGATGGGGACTTTCAAAATGTATTTGTTTAAATGTCTATTTGCTGAACCTGCTATTTGTGAGCAATGAGAGAAGAGCATTCATTCAACCTTTACTGAACCTTTGTCCTAGAGATTTAGGCAGTAAAACACACTTTGGACTTCAGGAGTTCACTGTTTGATAAGGACGATCAACTCATACAAACCAGTGAAACCAAGCAGTATGATATAACGGTAGTCGCAAGAATAGGGCTGTTAAGGGAGTTCAGAGAAGCATCATCTAAATTGGACTAGGAGAAGAGATAGCAAAAGACTTTTCAGAGGAGAAAAACTGTGAGCTAAGGTTTGAAGGAAGAATACAAATTAAGCAGGCAGAGAAGTTAAAGGGGGAAGGCTTTCTCAGAGAGAGAAACACCTGCAGAGAAGCAGAAAGTTACCTGTATAGTAAAGTTGCCAGAAGACGGGATGAGAGGTGCGTAGTGGTGGGTGACAGGGAAGGCTGGAAAGTAGCTCTAGGCCAAATCCCAAAGCTTCCTGTTTGACAACGTATTATAAAATGAATTCAGTTTTGCCCTGATACAACTGTAGGGTGTTCAGTAGGGGAGAGATACTTTCTGATTTGCGTTCTTAAAGAATGAGCACAATTTGGAGGAAGCGCGAGAGGCGAGGACGGTCACCCTGTGGCTGACCAATGGGAATGAGATGAACAAGTCAAAACTGTGATAGGAGAAAATGGAAGAAACTTGCTTTGAGAGAATATTGGAGGATAGGAAGTGCATTGGTGAGTAGCAGAGAGAGAGAATGTGTTAAGAGAAGGTTTTTATTTTCTTCTAACGGAGGGATTGATCATTATTTTCATTGGTTGGATTGAGCCAGTAGAGAGAGAATATGAAGGCTGAGGAATGGTAGCAGACAGAGCACAGTGCCTGAGTGAGAGCGAGAGGATGGGCCAGGATGGATGGGGTGGCCTCATGTGGAGGTCCCCTCTGACTGACACAGTAGAGGAGGAGGCAGGGGCAGGTGGTGACTGGGGAAGAGTGTAGGCAGGGTAGGAGCAGGAACCTGGCTTGTGAACTGAGGAGCTAGTAAAAGTGGGTGGGGGTTAGGACAGGGCGGAGCAGTTTGGAACAGTGCACTGGCGACAGAGAAGGAGAGCTGAGCCCGGTCAGCTCAAAAAAGGTGTCAGCATTTACTGAGCTCTTACTAAGTACCAGGCGTAAGTGCCGGGAGTATAAAGTTGAATAAGAAAACAACTGCCTTTAAGTGCTATTTTCTACGGGGGACAGAAGGCAAGAGGACACAGCCTCAGACTTAGCTTGTGTTTCCTTTTACCTGTATTTCTTCTTTGAGAGAATGACTTCTGTTAGTGAAATGAGATTTTTGTATCCTGGCACCTGCCTCCTCACAGGTCCTCAATAAATGTCTCTTGAATGAATCCATGAGTAAAAGACAGACAAACCTACTATGAAGGGAATGAAGGGGGCAAGGGAAATATTATACAGAAATTGTGTATCATCAGCCTTGGATAATCGATCCTGCCTGTTACTGCAAAATTGTATTGGGGGCTCGTGTCAGGCATTTCCCACATAAGTTAAGCATCCACAGTAGACCTTATGTAGCAGGGTCAGGTACACGGGAAACAATATTTTCCATTTAAAATTTGACCTGCTTCACTTTTTTAACAAGTGGTAACATTTGGAACAAGTGCGTTTTCTCATTTAAATGGTGTTCTCAGGATAGTCTCTCATTGGGCATTGTGTTTAAAACGTTTGGGTTTAACTCCCCCCCCCCTTTACATCCTTTCTTGTAACTTAATTGTGGTCAGTAACCAAATTATTGAAAGACAACTTTGCTCATATCCATTTATTATATTATTTTAAAGCTTCTGCATGAGTCGGTAAAATTTGCTGCTTATACTTATTTTCCTACATATTTTACTAGTGCTAGGTGAAGTGTGTTATTTAAATGATTTATAAAATTTTTAAAGTTGTATATTAAAAATGTCATAATTTATATAGCTTTCTTTCACATACAGTCCCGCCCCCATTTGCTCTTGTTCTTTCAACAGGAGTTAATGCCAAGAAAATATTTAACACTTCAGTTTGATTACTCCAGGCCCACTATCACCTGATCGGTTTGCCCCTTTTAGTTGCTGGGAGTGGCAGTTACGTTTGTGTACTTTGATTTTTCTGCCTTTAGTCTGGAATATACAAAAGCACGTCACCTTTTCACCTGACTCCTTTGACACTTGAGATATGCTTGTGTATGGTTTCATGCAATGGTTCATTCCTATGTCCTGCAGGATATCTATGACCTTAAGGACCAGATACAGGATGTAGAAGGGAGATACATGCAGGGACTTAAAGAACTAAAGGTATCAAGGCCCATTCTGCAGCCCAAGCATGCTCTCTGTCCGCAGAAGTGTTGGTCATGGTGGCTTCCTGAGTTCTGTTAACCCCAGTGCACATAGCTTTACTAACAGTGTTTGTCTTTCAAGCATGTGCTTAACCTACAGTGCATAGGAAAGGCGAACTTTCAATCTCTGCTTATGTTTCAATGTTTAGTATATAGTTCTGGGAATATTCAGTAAAATATTTTATACCTTACAGTTTTAAACCTCATAAAATACTTGAAGGTCCCTTGTGTCTTAGCCATACAAAATTGAATTGGGTAAACACCTAAAAAGCATTCCAAGAATACTTTTTTTTTTTTTTAAGTTTGCAGCAGAGGATAGTTTTATTAGAGCAGAAAGTTACAGTTCTTGAAACAAGAGGGGGTCCTGACCGGGGTGCCCTAAGAATACTTTCTAATTGAGAATCAGACCTTAAAATTCTTCCCAGGTAAATAAGAGAGTATCGCCTATTTCTGTCACCAAATTCAACCAATATTAAAGGCAGGAGGAAGAAGCATCTAGGAGAGATTATTACAAATATCCTCTCTGGAAGAAGGACCCTGAAGCATGAGGCCTGCATTTTTTTGGGTTTTTGTGTGTGTGTGTGTGTGTGTGTTTGTAACATCATCAAAAAGGATTACACAGATTCAGTGCCTTAAAGAATTTGGAGATAAATTTAAATGGGCCTTATCTCTTCTGAGCAAGGGTGACGACCAGCTTTGAATACAGGTGTCCATGTGAGGCAGACATTTTGCTTAGAAATGGCACTTGGTTATCATTCTCGTCCCCATGTTTTATTATGCATTTCAAGCCTAATATGAGGAAACTAAGTTTTCTCTGAACGTGCACATGCCCCTATTTGAAATAGAAATGCCTTTCAGGCCTCTGAAAAAGCATAAGCAAAACATTCAGAAAGGCGACTCAGGATGTACCCAAAGGACAAAATATGGAGCTAATGGGGCAACCCTTTCGTCAGCCTCCCTGGTGTGATTTGAAGTAGCCCATCTCCCAGCCAAACCTTCATGTAGGTGATTGTTGTCCATAAGAAACATATAGATGAGACTCAGAACAAAAAGGGTGGGAAGTCCTATGGAAAGTATCCAGGAGGGAAGCCTGGAAGCCGATGTTACGGCACCGTGAGGTTGTCAGTAAACGTCACGAGAATTGCAGTTAGGATGCTGATGTGCTCACTTAGTCTTACTGCTCTACTTTTCAGAAGTTAATCCCCCTTTTAAGGTTTTAGAGATATGACTTTTGGAAATGTCTTGGATCAAGGGAACAAATCCAATACATTAAATAAATAACTCATATTAAAGTCTCATATGTAACATGTATCAGGAAAGCAAGTGATGCAGGGGCATTCTTACTTGCTTTTTATTTTATTTAAAACATTTCTTCTTACCTTTTATGTTTTTTTATTTTTATTTTTTAAAGATTTTTATTGAGGAATTGGGGGATGGGAACAGCGCTGGGGAATTGGGGGAAGGGGAACAGACAAGTTGCTGTCCTTTTGTTCTTCAGTCTAGTTGTGGAGGACGTTGCTTCATGGCCCAAGTTGGCACCATCATTGTGCTCTTCTCTGCTGAGGCACATCAGTCGCCGGCTTCTGGACGCCGCTCACTGCGGCTGCTGGCTACACACGGTAGCCCATGGCAACCCACTGCAGCAGGGGCTGCAGCCTATGCCGTTGCCGGCGACTCAGGGCAGCCCAGCTCCAGGTTGAGCTGTTGTTCAGCATCTTAGCTGTAGAGGGAGTGTCACTGGCCCTCATATGTGGGATCCAAACCGAGGCCCTCTGGCGTCCCAAGCCAGCTCTTAACCATCGCACCAGTCGGCCGGCCCCTCTTCTTACATTTTAGATCTACCGTTTATTGCATTCTTTGAAGGATACAAAAGAACAGATTAAATTTATTTGAGACTTTGAACAGATAAGATCTTTTTTTAAAATTCATGGTCAGTGTATAATTGAACCAGACTTCACGTTAATACTTATCCTTGAAATGACTTTTAAATGGGAGAAAAATCATTTAAAAAAAGATCTGATTGATTATGAAGCATGGTGGTGTGATGTATCTGTCTCTTACTTAAAAAGGATGCTGGGTCATTGTTCATGACGTTATTTTTGATTAAGTATGTCTGCCTTTTGAAGATTTTCCTCAATCTTGTTAAAACACAGATTGCTGGGGCCGGCCGAGGGGCGCATTGTTTAAGAGCTGGCTTGGGACGCCAGAGGGCCCCCGTTCGGATCCCACATATGAGGGCCAGTGACACTGCCCTCTACAGCTAAGATGCTGAACAACAGCTCAACCTGGAGCTGGGCGGCCATGGGTCGCTGGTGACGGCATAGGCTGCAGCCCCTGCTGCAGTGGGTTGCCATGGGCTACCGTGTGTGGCCCGCAGCCATCGTGAGCGGCCGTCCAGAAGCCGGCGACTGATCTGCCTCACCTGGGAAGAACGCAATGATGGTGCCAACTTGGGCCAGTGAAGCAACGTCCTCCACAACTAGACTGAAGAACAAAAAAGGACAGCAACTTGTCTGTTCCCCTTCCCCCGATTCCCCAGCGCTGTTCCCATCCCCCAATTCCCCAATAAAAATCTTTAAAAAAGAATAAACAAAAAACACAGATTTCTGGATCCACAGATTGGGTCTAGGATGGGGTTGAAAATTTGCATTTTTACCTAGCTCCCAATAATTCTGTTGCTGTTAGTTCAGAACCCACACTTTGAAAACCACTGCCTTGGATGGATTTAAGTACAACTAATTCCTTATGGGTATCACTGTGTAAGCTAGATTAAAATCATTAAAACTGCCTTGATACTTAAATTTAAAACAGTCGTCTATGGCCTGTTGTTTAAAGGAAGAGTATATCACATAAACTTTATGTCAAATTTATTGTGTTATATACTGTGTCCTTGCATCTGCTCCTCCGCTAGGTTTGATTCTGGTGTTCATGCAGTTATGCTCCATTTTATATGGGACTGAGTTGTGAGGAGGACTTTTTAATACTATTAGCCTCAAGATGGATGGAAATCATTCTAAATTCTGCATTGTATTAAGATACTACTACTTAAAATCGTTACACAATTGACTGCTTATATTCTTTCTTTGGGTTGTATTTGTTCCCAATTCTAGTATAAATGTTGTTTGTTAATACAATCCTAGTTTGTGAAACATTATTAAGTATATGTAAATGTATGTGTATATCTTTATGACATAATTTACATACCATAAAATTTACAGTGTAGAAAACGCAATGATTTTTAGCATAGCCACACAGTAGTATAACCATCACCACAACCCAATTTTAGACCATTTCCATTATCCCCAAAAGAAACCCATACCAGTTAGCATTCCCCATTCCCTCCCACTCCCAGACTCAGCCCTGGGTGACCGCTAATCTACTTTCTGTCTCTCTGGGTTTGCCTATTGTGGACATTTCATAGAAATGGAATTGTACAGTATGTTGTCATTTGTGACTGAGTTTTCATTTAGCATAATGTTTTCAAGATTCCTTGGTGTTGTAACATGTATCTCTCTCTCTCTCTCTCTCTCTCTCTCTCTCTCTCTCTCTCTCTCTGTGTGTGTGTGTGTGTGTGTGTGTTTTGTGTCTAGGTAATATTCCATCAGATGGATTTACCACATTTTGTTTATCCATTTGTCAGTTTATCGACATTTGGGTTGTTTCCAATTTTTGGCTTTTATGAATAATGCTGCTATGAACACTTGTGTACAAGTCTATGTATAGACATATCTTTTCATTGGGTCATATGGTAATTCTGTGTTTAACATTTTGAGGAGTTACCAACTGTTTTCCAATGCAGCTGCACTATTTTACATTCTCACCAGCAACGTATGAGGGTTCTAGTTTTTCCAAATCCTCAATAACGTTTTGTTTCTTTTTTTTTTTCCATTATAGATTATAGCTATCCTAGTAGGTCTGAAGTTGTATCTCGCTGTGGTTTTGGTGTGCATTTCCCTAATTACTAATGATGTTGAGCACGTTTTCCTGTGCTTATTGGCCATTTATATATTCTCTTTGGAGAAATATCTATTCGAGTCCTTGCCAGTTTTAAATTGAATTATGTGTCTTTTTATTATTTTGTCACAAGAGTTCTTTATATATTCTGGATACGAGCCCCTTAATCAGATATAAGCTTTACAAATATTTTCTCCCATTCTATGGGTTATCTTTTCAATTTCTTGATGGTACTTTTTGTAGCACAAAATTTTTTTATTTTGATAAAGTCTGTTTCTTCTTTTGTTGATAGAGCTTTTGGTTTCGTATCCAAGAAACCATTTCCTACTCCAAGCTCATGAAGATTTACTGCTATGTTTTCTTTGAAGACTTTTATAGTTTTAGATCTTACATTTGGGTCTCTGATCTATTTTGAGTTAATTTTTTATATGGTGTGAGAAAAGGATCCAACTTCATTCTTTTGCATGTGGATATTCAGTTGTCCCACTTGTTGAAAAAACTATTTTTCTCCCACTGAGTTGTCAGGGGCATCCTTGTAAAAAATCAATTGATCATAAATGTAAGTGCTCTGGACTCTCGTTTCTGTATCACTGATGTTGGTTTGATAAATATTTGTGTTAGTATTTTTAAAATTTATTTCCAGCAGTGATGACTTTTTTCTATGTGAAATGTCTTTTCTTTTTAGCTTTGAAAAAAGTTAGTCATTAGTAATAAGCTACCAAACTAGATATAGTTACTAAAAAACAAACTTGTAAGCTATTTTAGGCAGAAAACATAGAAGTAGATAAAATTTCAGGCATTTCATGGTAGCTCTGTTTTTTAATAATCATTTTGTTTTGCTTATTTAAAAATGACTAAACCTATAATAATTGCTAGAAAAATATGTTTATACATTTACATTAGCACTATTATACAAAACAGTAAAATACTGAAAATAAACATCCAGGAAGTAGCAAAATTCAAATGAGTAGGAAGTTTACTTGTATTAAGGGAGGCTGCATTCTGTTGTCTCACTGCATTCTGAATACCAAACAGAATGTTGTTAAACACTGTAGGAGTAACATTTCTGAAAACACTGATGATTCTTCATTTTATGACTGTTAAAAATATATGTCGTCCGCTCACCTTTTCATCTTTCAGAGGCTTTGGTGCTGCTTGATTTTGTTTCCTTGGATAGCAGACAGCACATAAAGTTCTTGTAACGGCATTATTGGCTTATTATCACCTTCCTCTCTTATGTGCATGTTACTAAACAAGGAGTGCCCCAAACTGCTTGTAATTTTGCAAAAGTGCATCTTCATGTGCTTGTACCGGTGCTATAGTTTCCTATTATATGTTGTACATAGTCAGTGAACATATCTTAGCTGTCGGGCTGATGACGTTGACTTTCATTTAGGAGTCTTTGTCTGAAGTGGAAGAAAAATACAAGAAAGCCATGGTTTCCAATGCACAGTTAGACAATGAGAAGAACAATTTGATCTACCAGGTAGATACCCTCAAGGATGTTATTGAAGAACAGGAGGAGCAGATGGCGGAATTTCATAGAGAAAATGAAGACAAATCAAAGGTAATTGTTCATCTTGTATCACGCCTTTCCCTCGGGTCAGAAAATTAAAACTTCCTATTTAAAAAGTCCTGGGCCTAATGGAAAAATGCAGCATACCTGGATGTTTCAGTCAAAATCAGTTGGTGGGAAGTTGACAGAACATAAGAGAAACAGGTCCTAAAATATTTTTCTTTTAAAATTTTTATGGTTTGTTTTATGAAGGAAAAGCTGGTGACCTCTTTTAGTTTCTGAAAATAGAATACAACTCAAGTTTTATCTCTATTTTCTATCTCTTAATTGGAACACTTAATAAGTGAATTACTTATTTCTTCCTGTTTTAACTGGCTGGAACTCCACAAACCTCCAAAGACTTTCAGTGTGATGGTTCATTTTTCTTTTTCTTTCTTTTTTCCACCTTCCCCTCCTTCCCCCCCACACCCGCATTTTTCAAGAGAAAGTGTTTTCTAAATGATTGGGGAGAAGTTTTTAATCAGTAGTTTAGAAACAGCAGTGTGGAGATGTGGGTCAGAAATCAACAGATGTTTTCTTTAGAGGTTTGTAAACTCTGTTATTAAAATGTACAGATGGAAAATTAAAGCCACTGCCCACGGTCCAGATTTGCCCTTTGACAACTGCAGAAAACAAACTGGGTTGTCTTAAAAGCAATGATTACTGCTGAAAAATGAGTTGCTGCTACATTGCGAAAATAAAAAACACAGAAAATAATTTAGTAACTGTGCATTGATGAATTGTTAGAAACAATAACAATCTGCGTTTGTACATCATAATGGGAGAGAAGCTGTTAATATAACCTCTAAGGGAGCAGCATGAATATTGTAGACTCTATAGGGATTTCTTTCATTGAGGACTAAAGATGCTCATTCCAGTCTGTTTTGGTAATGTTTCAAAAGTGTTAGAAAGTGTTTGCCAAGGGTTTGGGGGAAGGAAGGATGAATAGGCGAAGTGCAGAGGACTTTTAGGGCAGTAATATTATTCTGTATCATACCGTAATGGTGGATACATAATACATTCATCAAAACCCATAGAATGTACAGCACTAAGAATGAACCCTAATGTAAACTATGGGCTTTGGGTGATAATGATGTGTCAGTGTAGGTACACTGATTGAAACCAATGTACCACTCTGGCTGTGGGCCAGGGTGTTGAGTGGAGAAGCCTGTTCCTATGTGGGGGCAGAGATTGTTTTCGAACTCTGTACTTTCCACTCACCTTTGCTGTGAACCTAAACCTACTCTAAAAACTAAAGTCTTTTTTTAAAAAAAGTTAGGATAAGAAGACTTGTGTCTATAGTAGATAGGTGAAAAAGAAGCTTCTGAGTATTTTTATTTTGGATGCCAGTGGCCAATTGAAGAGTATGATTTAATGGCAATAGGTGGTTACCTCCTTGATTCTTCCTCTTATCTCATAGGCCAATTTTGGATATTCTGAGCCATCATACTTCACCTAGAGTCTTTGGACTCCTTTTTTACCTTCCTACACATTTTTCATATTGATTTCTGACCCTTCTAGCAGATTAGAAGAAAATCTCATGCTACGTATTTAATGGTCAGAACTAAAATGAGTTCTTACCTTTCCATCTTCTACAATGTCCTTGAGCAATAAAACAAAAACAAAAACAAACAACAATTTTAACCATTTTTTTCTTCTATCATTTTCTAAGACATAGAGATGCTTTAGTATACATAGAGTTGTGTATTTTTATTTTGTTTTGGATCTTGTGCTTTTGGAATTTGAAAAACCTGTAAGCTTTTTAAATGCCCTGACAATCTGTTTAAGATACTCAGATGCAGAAGACTTTGTGATAGTGTCTCTCTGTAACATACCTTCACCCTGAGCTCTCTTCTTCTAGATATGAGTACATACTGCCTCATGCAGTATAATATTCATGGTCAGAGACATACAAAGAGGTCAGGCACTCTGTATGTTTTGTTATAGCAGCAGACAGTGAAGGTAGAGAAGGATCATTCAATTAAAATAATAATGATATGAATTCAGTTTTCCAAAATGTCTTTAGTGCTGCCTGCTGGGATTATAATTGTACCTTAAATATTGTTTCTGTACCTACTTTAGGGACAAAAATGCCTGATTAGCAATGTCTCAAGTATATTCTTCTTAATAGCTATTCATTTTATTAGCAGATTCTTTTTTTTTTTTTTTGGTTATGTGATTTTTAAAAAGTTTTATTACAGATTTTAAACATATATAAAAAAATATATAAAGGAGTATAATAAACTTTCCTAAATCCATCACCTACCCCCAACAACCGTCAACCCATGGCCAATTTTGCCCTATCCACATCCTCCTTATTTGCAGCAAGTCCTCAGTATCTCATATTTTAATGTGAATTTAGGCATGACTCTATAAACAGTATGGACTTTCTCTTTCTTTAAAATGTAAACATAAGACCATTTCACATCTGAAAAATTAAGAATAATTTCTTTATACTGCATCTCCAATTGTTAAAATTTTAATTGTCTCAAATATTACAGAAGATTTTTCTTTTTTACACTTAATAAAAATGAGGATCCAGGTGAGTTCCACACATTGGAATTAGTTGTCATGTCTTTTAAGTCTCTTTATTTGTAGGTTTCCTTTCATCTTTTTTTTTCTTTCTTTCAATTTATGTGTTGACGGAATGATTGCTGAGCAAAATAAGTCAGGCAGTGGGCCGGCCGAGTGGCGCAATGGTTAAGAACTGGTCTGGGACGCCAGAGGGCCCCGGTTCGGATCCCACATATGAGGGTCAGTGACACTACCCTCCACAGCTAAGATGCTGAACAACAGCTCAACCTGGAGCTGGGTTGCCATGAGTCGCCGGCGACGGCGTAGTCTGCAGCCCCTGTGGCAGTGGGTTGCCATGGGCTACTGTGTGTAGCCAGCAGCCAGCGTGAGCGGCCAGCAGCCGCAGTGAGCGGCCGTCCAGAAGCCGGCGACTGATCTGCCTCACCCAGGAAGAGCGCAATGATGGTGCCAACTTGGGCCAGTGAAGCAACGTCCTCCACAACTAGACTGAAGAACAAAACGACAGCAACTTGTCTGTTCCGCTTCCCCCAATTCCCCAGCACTGTTCCCTTCCCCCCAATACCCCAATAAAAAAAAATCTTTAAAAAAAAAATAAATAAATAAGTCAGGCAGAAAAAGTCAAGAACCATATGACTTCACTCATATGTGGGATATAAAACTGAAAGCAACAAAGGAACAAGACAAACAAGGAAACAAAAACTCATAGACACAGACAACAGTTTAGTGGTTACCAGAGGGTAAGGGGGGAGTGGGGTGGTAGATGAGGGTAAACGGGGTCAAATATATGGTGATGGAAGGAGAACTGCCTCTAGGTGGTGAACATACAATGTGATATATAGATGATGTATTACAGAAGTGTACACTGAAACCTATATAATTTTACTAACCCATGTCACCCCAATAAATTTAATTTTTAAAAAAAGAAAGAAAGAAAGAAACTGGATTGCCTGTTTTACCACTTTCTAGCAGTCTTAGGGATTTTGCTGTTTTATTCCCATGGACTCTTTATTGTATTCCTTTTTCCTCTGTATTTCCTTTAAATAGGTAGTTAGGATTAGAGGCTTAATCAAATAACAGGCTTAGTATTTTTGGCAAATGTAAGTCATAGGTGATTTTTCTTCAGGAGACCCAGGTATATGGCTATCTCTCTCTTCGGATGTAGCTGGATGCTTACATCTGTTAGTTGATTAGGGGTTGCAAAGTGGGATAGTCTAATTTTGTTATTACTGCTCTATTTTATTGTCTTTTATTATTTTAAAACAGCTTTATTGAGATAATTTAAATATTATACAATTCATCTGTTTAAAGTGTGTAATTCAGTGGGATTTTTTGTATATTCACAGATCTATGTAACCATCAGCACAGTCAGTTTTAGACTATTTCATCATGTCAGACAGGAACCCTATACCCTTTAGCTATCATTTCTCTATCTCCTGACCCCCTCAGCCCTAAGTAACCACTACTCTACTTTCTGCCTCTATAGATTTTCCTAATCTAGACTTTCATGTCAGCGAAATGATATAATATGTGGGGTTCTGTGATTGGCTTCTTTCTCTTACATTTTCAAGGTTCATCTGTGTTGTAGCATGCAGCAGTAGTGCTTCACTCCTTTTTCTGGCCCAATAATATTCCATTTAATACATATACCACATGTTTATTCATTTGTGCTTTGATGCACATTTGTTTTTTTCCTACTTTTTGACTATGTTGAATAATGCTGAGCTAAACACTTGTATATACGTTTTTGTGTGGACATATGTTTTCCTTTCTCTTAAGTATATACCTAGGAGTGGAATTGCTGGGTCATATAGCAAGTCTGTGTTTAACCATTTAGGAATGCCAGACTGTTTTTCAAGGTGGCTGCACCATTTCAAATTCCCACTGGCAGCACATGCAAGTTCTGATTTCTCCACAGCTTTACCCACACTTGTTATTGTCTGACTTTTTCTCTAGCCTATTGTAGCAGGTGTGGTTTTGATTTGCATTTCTCTGATGACTAATGATTTTGAGTACATGTTTTCATATATTTATTGACTATTTGAATATCTTTCTTGAAGAAATATCTATTTAGATCCTTTGCCCATTTTTAATTGGATTGTCTTTTTATTACTGAGTTGTAAGAGTTTGTGTAGTTTAGATATAAGTCCTTTATCAGATAGGTGATTTGCAAATATCTTTTCCCATTCCATGGCTTGTCTTTCCACTTTCTTGTGCTTTATTGATTAGTATTAGTCCATCTTTTAAGAGAAACGTCCCCTCATCTCTTATTACTCAGATGAGACAGTTTACATAGGAAAGAGGAGATAAAGGTTTGATTTTTTTCCTACACTTGATCTTAGCCAAAAGGCCGAGAAGCAATTGATTCTTTTCCTTTATTTATGAGTTTTCAAAATAGAGAATTGGTTGTTTAACATCCTGTAATAGTCATCCATTATTTGGTTTTTCTAAAAAACTATCATTATGAAGTCAAGAATTCAAGCATTTGATGATTTCAACCCATCATAGCTTTTCTTCTTGCTGATTTTGTTGTCCAACCTTTAACTAATGTGAACCTCTTCAGGCTGATTCCCAAGTAATTTTGACATGAGTCTGATTGTTTTTGATAGCTTCTTAGGTATTTAGCACAGGATGGTGGTCCATGCTTATCTGGTACATTTCCTCATCCAGACCTAGAAGAGCTGTTTGTCCAAGGAGCCCTGGCTCTCTTTGGGTGGAGAAATGTGGGTGCTAGGGGAGGCCTTGCCACCAAGTTCATCACTGTTTATAGGCCTTCTAAGTGGATATATCAGAGAAGCATGTATGTGGAATATTTTTAAAATAATTTAAAAACAAAAGTTTTTAAAGTCAAAATGTCTTAAGAGTTTATGCTGATAGTTCTAGTTCACGTTCACGACTCTAGGGTTTTTACTTAACCCCGTCTGTCTTCTATATGCATAGATCCTTTTCCCACACTACTGTTCCCAGTTCTCAAAGTCACTGGGGATGATAGTAATTATGTTATATTCTATTCTCATTGCTTTATCCCACAGTGTCCAGAATAGCAATACCAATGTTACCACCAACAATATAATTACGGAAAATAGTTGAACATTTTTTGTTTTGTTCTGTTTGGTTGTTATTTTGCTGCTAGGCTATGTATAGTCCAACCATTGTTTTTAAAAGTTACTTGAAATAGCTTCTCTCTGTGTGCTTAGGCTACTAACTGGCTATATAGTTAGGTCCACTGCATTTTATTTCAATATTTAGGAATTGCCTTTTTACATTTTATTTTAAAATTACTTTTTTACCCTTAATTGTGGTAAAAAAAAAAAAAACCCCACATATATTGGGTTGTCAGAAAACTCATGACGTATTTTTTTGGTTTTCATTGCAAAAATGCATCGACTTTTCTGACAACCCAGTAACAAAACTTAACTATCTTAACCATTTCAGAGTGTACAGTTCTGTAATGTCAATTATATTCACATTGTTGTGCAACAGATCTCTAGAACTTTTTCATCTTGCAAAACTAGAACTCTGTACTTACTAAACAATTCCCCATTTCTCCTCGCCCCAGCTCCTGGCAACCACCATTCCACTTAGTGTCTTTAAGAGTTTGACTACTCTAGGGACCTCATATAAGTGGACTCATATAATATTCGTCTTTTTGTGGCTGACTTATTTCACTAGCATAATGCCCTCAGATTCATCCATGTTGTAGCACATGAAAGGATTTTCTTCCTGAAGAATATTCCACTGTATGTATGTACCACATTTTGTTTATCCATTCATCTATCAGTGGACATTTGGGTTGCTTTTTTTCACTAGGAATTCCTTTTTAAATTTACTTTAGTTTTACAATTATATAAAATATTTACATATAACTGGGGTCAAATCAACAAAAAAAATATATTCAAAGAACTCAGTCTTTATTTTATCGTTGTGTCTTCATTCCTATTTTGTCTTTCCTTAAGGGAATTTTAAAATTAACTGGTTTATTCTTCCATTTTTTAGTCTAAGAAGATATATATGGATAGATAGATATAGTATAAATAGATACAGATATATAGATCTTGCCATTCAAAAAATATATGCAAATATATGTATTTGTAGTCATCCTTTCTTAGAAAATGGTAGCATACTATAAATACTGTTATGCACCTTGATTTAATCACCATATAATTGTAGTAGGGAGAGATCTGCCTCATTCTTTTTTAATTACTGTAGAATTAGTCCATGGTGTGGCTGTACTATAGATTATTCCACCAGTTCCTTATTAATGGATAATTTGAGTTGTTTGTAGTCTTTTGCTGTTAAAAGTAGTCCTGCAAAAGTGACGGTACTGCATAGGTCTGTTTGCATTTTTACCCTGTGGGAGTTATTACCGTATTTCCCCATGTATAAGACGCTCCCATGTATAAGACGCACCTTAATTTTGGGGCCCGAAATTTGAAAAAAAATGTATTAAATAAAGTTATTGAACTCAAGTTTTATGCATCATAAAATTCATACAACTCCTCATCACTGTCAAAACTCCCAACCATAGCCAGTCTCGGATTGTTTTCGCAGTTGGAGGAGGGCCAAACTTAACGTTCAGCAGCACGATTTCCATTCACTTTTACAAACTGGATCACTTTTAACTTGAATTCAGCACTGTGCGAAAATCTTTTCTGAGCCATTTCTGGGCAGAACGTGGCAAAACGTACCCTAATATACCGGTAACAAGTGTGAAACAATGAGCGCAAAGACAACAAGCGCGAAAAGGCGGGAAATGCAAGTTAAAAAAAATCGACAACCACTGTATAAGACGCACCCAGTTTTTAGACCCCAAATTTTTCAAAGAAGGGTGCATCTTACACATGGGGAAATATGGTAAGTGGATTTGCTGGGCCAAAAGGTATGGCAATTCCACTAGATACTGCTGAATTCCCTTTGTAGGGGCTACATCCTTTTGTATTCCCACCAAAATGTATGGGAGGGCCTGTTTCCTTCCCCATAGTACTTGCCCAAATATATTGTCAGGTTTTTGGACTTTTACTAGTGTTTTAATGAACATATAGTTTTAATTTATATTTCTTTTAGTATGATCATCTTTTCATATTCAGAGCGATTTCTCTTTATTCCTGTGAACTGTCCATTTCTTTAGCAACTTTTTCTATATATGTAGTAGTGTTTTTCTTTCCTCTTTCTTTCTTTCTTTCTTTCTTTCTTTCTTTCTTTCTTTCAAGTAGTGTTTTTTTTCTTTTCTAATTTTAGAGGCTCTCTGTAATGGAGAGATAGTAACATTTTGTCCCTGATAGAAATTGTACATTTTTTTTGTATTTTGTCATTTGCCTTTTTACTTTGTTTATAGTGTCTTTTGCCAGTCAAAAGTTTTTATTTTTATTTAGTCTAATTTATTACCCCATTCCCTTTCTTGCTTGTAGATTTTTGAGTCAGTTTTAGTAATGTTTCCCCATTCTTTGGTTATAAGAATTCATTCATTTTTTTCTCTGGTACTGTTAACTGTTTCCTCCCTCCCTTTCTCTCTCTCTGTCTCTCTGTCTTCTTTCTGAAGTTTGGTGTGAAGTTTGGTTCCAGTTTTCTTTTTCTGTATGGATATGCAGTTATCCTAATATCACTAAAAGTATTTTTCCTTATTGATTTGAGACGCTCTTCTTGTTACGTTGGTGTTTAATATATTTGTATATGAATTGGGTCTATTTTTGGATGTTCTGTTCTGCTTCATTGGTCTGTATTCATGAGTCATCACAACACTGTTTTCATTATATAGGCCTAATAATATGTTTTAATATCTAGTAAGGCTAACTTTCTTCTTTTTGAGTATGTTTGTCAATTTTTAGTTTTTCTTATGTTTTTCTTCCAAATAAACTTTACAATGAACTTTTCTTGCCCTGATGAGAAAAAAACCTGATGGTATTTTTATTTGGACTGTAGTAAGTGCATGGATTAATTTGAGGGAGAACTGACATTTTTTATGGTATTGAGTCTTTTTATCCAAGATTACCATCTTGGTAATGGAATGTATACCTTTCATTTGTTCTTTCCTACTTCTCTGTCTTCTAGGAGTATTTTATTTAATTTTCCTTATATAGATTTTTAGATATGTCTTATAAGTTTACATGTATGTTTTTTAATTTTATTTTTTGATACTGTGTTTATTATATTTTCTCTTGATTTTGTTTATCTATGAAATTATTGAATTTTGTATGTTAATTATATAACCTGTAACTTGACTAAGTCATCTCATTGTTTAGTAATTTTGCCATTGATAAATTTGGGTTTTCTACAATAGATACATATAATCCTATGAGATGAAAACTTTGAATTTTCTGAACCCTTCCATAAACTACAGAATTTTTCTAAATTACTATGCATTGGCAGTTCAGGTGTGTTTCTAGCGGTCATACTCAGCCTTTGTATGATTATGCTGCATTCCAATTTGTTATGTGCCATTATCTGTGTCAACCCTATCATTTGTTTAATAACAGGAGTTAGAAAGGCAGAAACATATGTGTAGTGTGCTGCAGCATAAAATGGATGAACTTAAAGAAGGCCTTCGACAAAGAGATGAGCTTATTGAGGTATGTACATGAACTGGGGGAATACTTAATTATGAAAAAAACGGAATGAGAGGGGGTATGTGTTAGGAGGGAAAGGAGTTAAAATGCTATGAAGAGTTTACTTATGTCTTCATATTTGTACCCTAAAATTTTACAAACATGAAACATAAAGGCAGTCTTAAACATTAATGCCATGTACCCCATTAAACATTCCCCCTTTTAATTATAGAAGCATTTGTATTATCTTTTATTCCTAAACACATTCTTTCCTATTGATATCTTAAGAAATGGGCAAAAATTACAAAGTACCATTATTCTTTGGAATGTAATGAATGGTGTCTTTTGGGACATGATTCTTGGGGAAAAAAGAAACTTGATCTTCACTCAGGTGGATACAATTCTGAGATGGCTAAATAAAAATGAGATAACCTTATATAAAAACAGGCGAAGGTTGGCCAGTGCTGTGGTTCAGATTTCTTCTGGTGGAGGGACTCTGAGTTGCCACAGTGTTGGCAACATTTTAGGAATAGGAAGCAGTGTTGGCCACCAAGAAATCTTTAAAAGCGTTTATCATTCTTCTGTGCCTACTACCTTGCATGCCATTTCTGTTTGTCTTTAAATGTGGTTTTTCCTCTTAAGGTCATCATTTTTTATTATAAGTATGGAGTTAAGTTTTTGCGAAGGGATCCTACCCACTATCTTGGTGTGTTTATCAAAGACGTCTAATGTTAATTTAGTGTCGATGACATGTGGGTGTGATCAGGAAGGCCATCTCTTAATGACCTGTAGGACACTCACTCATCCACATGCCTGGTGACTCAGTACCCCCACCGTTACCCACACTGATGTCACCCCTCACCTCTCTTTTTCCCTCCTTTTTCTCTTCCCCTGTGGACCTGCCTCACTTAATCTCACTCTCTGTAAATGACTTAAAAATAACATTTAACAGAGGAAAAGAAATGCCTTTTTCTTTTTGTGGATTTGTGTTACTTTTCTTCATTTTTGAGAATAATTGAATTGAAACTAGCCTGGTGAAAGCAGGTATAATTTGTGAATTCTAAATGCAGACACATAACCTTTTGAAAAGACCAAGTTACATATGAAGATAGTTGTCTTAGTTTTTCCATATATGGCAAGAAGCATATTATCCAAATTCTGTTTCCTGCTGACATTTTAAAATAATGGGCACTCTGTCCCTTTTTGTTCTTCCGCGTTTTTGTGTGTCAGTGTCCCAGCCACTTGTTATTTCTTTTTCTAATTAAGATATATAGTTTTCCCCTTCTGTGATTTCAGAAGAATAAAAAAACTGCTTTGGGAGATGCTTCTCAAAATCAGTCACTTCATTAGAATTGGTTAACTGTTTTAGTTTTTAATTTGATGACTGTATTAAGAGGGATTATAATGCTTGATTTCTATAATTTGTCATTGTGGTTTCTTTTAAAGCCCAGGGGGCTGAGAATACAAACTTTAAAAATCTTAAATTAGTTTTAGATGTTTCTTATGATTACAATTAACATCCCTTAGATGTTAATATCCATGTTTATGTATAAAAACCTTGAATATGACAAAATAATGCTTTTTGGTTTTTAGAATTGCAGGGTAAAGTAGATAAGTAACGTGTGACTAGGGAAAGTAGGAGATGATAATAAACCTGTTAAACATAAGAGGGTGTAAATTGAACATCATTACCCAATCAGAAGAGTAGTTTCAGAATTGCTAAATACTAAATTCTAGTTTTTCTAAACACTGATGTGAGTATTCATTTATAACTCATGATGTTCCTGCTATCATAGATTCTGCTAAAAAAAAAGTGAAAACAATGAAGCTGCAAGTTACATCCCTCTTGTATTTTTTTAGTTCTGCTTAAAACAAAACAAACAAAGTTCAAAACTTCTGCTTGTTCTCTATTATAAGGATCATTTGTTCATAAGCAAATCTTTATTTCCCTCTCTAGAAATGCAAGTTTTCCATGTTTGGAAAACAGGCAGTTATCACAGGAAGGGTACCCATGTGGAGCTGTATGTACACAGAAACCCTAGCTGGCTTGCTACCGCATAGCTGTGGTTGGAGCAGTTATTCCCAGCCTCCTTGCTGGGAGCAAGCCAGTGAGAACCATGTCGCAAAGACACTGGATGCCATCTTTCCTTTCAGCAAGCAGCTCTTGCTTTTCCTGTTCATCACAGACTTTCCTCTTCTGTTAATTTTCTCTATTAGCTTTATTTTTGTTGTGTTTTCCTCCCTGTAACTCCCTCCCTTTTTTTCTTTCTACTCTTTTATTACTTCTCTTCCCTTCTTCCTCTGCAGGAGAATCAACGTATGCAGCAGAAAATAGACACCATGACAAAAGAGGTGTTTGACCTCCAGGAGACACTTCTTTGGAAAGATAAAAGCATTAGGGTATGGGGTGAAATTGGGCTTTGGTCCTAAGCTCATTCATTGATGAGGAATAGACCAACATAATTTAACTTAGAGATGCCTGAAAGTCTGTCCTTTTGATTACTTTTAAGCATTTATACAGGGTGAAATATAAATAAACAGAAGACAGAAAGAAACTTCTATGGGAAAACCTGATATTATGCATCGAAAGAACTCTTCTTCCAGCTAGCTCTGGGCTTGTGAAACAGACAAGTAGGAACTTTCTAAGGAAGTTGTTCTTTATTTCCTTGGATTCTTACCCAGAAGCTGCCACAGCCATTTAATTCAAACTCTGTGGCTAACTTGATATCCTTACATTGCAAGAATTTGGATAAGAAGCAAAAGGATAGGGAGTAGGGGTGGAGGAAAGGTTATAAGCATTCCATAAATCCTTGGTGAGTAAAATAGGAAGAGATTAAAATCAATTTAATTACAAAGTGGATAGGAATGTGAGATTTATCAGAGCTGCCAAACTGTGACATCATCTCTAATTATAATCCCATAACTCCCCAGAGCAGGGGCCCAGAAAGGGAAAAAGTCCTCAGCTCTTTTTTGCTAAGCCTTTCAGGTAGATTCCAAGTACACAGGAGACTGAAAAAATTCCTACCAGTTCATCCCATGTGGCCTTCGAGTGGCAGCCCCACCTCATGGCACAAGATGTCTTTTCTGCAGTTGAGGACGGTGCAGCCATAGCTGCCAGAGGCTTACCTTGTCAGGGAAGTGCTCAGGTGAAGGCAACAGACAGAAGGAAGCCTTTGGCCTGAGGACATTGTGAGCAAGCCTTGCTCTGCTTGAGGTTCGATGGGGTAGGGAAAAATGGCAAAGGACCCCAAGAGCACCTGCGATAGACATGCCTGTGTGTGAAGCCCCCTGAATCACACCCTCCGTTGTTAGGGGTGTTCTAGTACCCACTTCTTTTCACACCTCCAGTGACCCTGTCTTCTCTTTAATAAACACATGGGAAACAAAGTCACTCGGAAGGGTTTGGTAGACCAAAAGTCTTAAAGCAATAAAGCTACCTTCGGAGTTTCTAATACTTAAATACTGAGTTTGTAAAATTCTACCCAAAGCTAGAAGAGCCTTCTGGACTATAGATTAACAAGTCTGTTAAGAGTTTTAAAATTGTGAACCACTGATTTTATTTAAATTTTCGCTTGGGAATTTAAAATGAGATATAAAAAAAAATATGGCACAAAATGAGTAATTTGAAAGTTTAAAATCTGGTCACTATCTAGAATGTGTTTTTTTAGGGCCTTACATAATTTTTTTTAGCACCTATCTGCAGGTCCGTGATTCCTGTTTTGTGTAATTATCTTAGCATTTTAAACTGATTACTTTGGACCAGCCATAGCAAAACCCCAAACCTTTCAGTCCAATAAAATACCTATTTAAAATAAAACATTTTTTTTCTTACCAAAAAGCTGTGCTGATAGTTAAGATATAATCGACTTTTTAATTTTCTTGGAATGATTGAATAAATAAGTGGGTACCTTCTTTCTATGTGGTATATAGCAATGTGTGTTCCTTTGGCTCTTTTAAAAAATTAAACTTAAAAAAAATTTGAGGTAATTGTAAATTCATATGCAATTCTAAGAAATAATACAGAGAGATCCTGTATGTCCTTTATCTAGTTTTCCTCAAACGTAACATCTTGCAAAACTATAGTATAATATCACAGTCAGGATGTGACCTTGATTCAGTCAAGATACAGAACGTTTTCATCACCGGAAGGGATCTCTGGTGATGCCCTTTCATAGCCACATCTGCCACCTCCCCTACCCTGTCCCAAGCCCTGGCAACCACTCAGCTGTTCTCCATTTCTGTAATTTTGCCATTTTAAGAATGTTATATAAATACCTATTTAAAATAAAACATTTGTACGGTATGAAACATTTTGGAATTACACTTTCAGAATTACACTTTTTCACTCAGCATAAGTCCCTCGGGATTGATTCATTCAAGTTGTTGCGTGTGTCAGTTAGTTGTCCATCCTTTGACTTTAAAAAAAAATTTTTTTAATTGTGGTAAAATACAAATAACAGAAAATTTACCATTTTTAAGTTTAGATTTTGATGGTATTAAGTACATTCACATAACTGTGCTACTGTCACCATCCATCCACAGAACTCTCTTCATCTTACAGAACTAAAACTATCCTCATTAAACAACACACCAGTCCTCTCCGCCATAGCCCCTGGCAACCACCATTCTACTTCCTGTCTCTATGAATTTGACTGCTCTAGGGACCTCATATAAGTAATATCAGACAGTAATTGTCCTTTTGCTACTGGCTATTTCACTTGGCATAATGTCCTCGAGGTTCATCCATGTTGTAGCATGTCTGAGTGTCCTTCCTTTTTAAGACCGAATAATATTCCATTGTGTATATGTGCCACATTTTGTTTATTCAATCATCTGTTGATAGACAATTGCTTGGCTTCCTCCTCTTTGTGACCCTTCGTTTATTTCTTTGGGGTGTATACCCAGGAGAGGAATTGCTGCATAATATGGGAACTCTGTGTTTAATTTTTTGAGGACCAGCCATGCTGTGTTGCACAGCAGCTGCATCATTTTACATTCACACCAAGTTCACAAAGGTCCCAGTTTTTCTACAACCTTACCAACATTTGTTTTCTGCTTTTTTGGTAGTAGCCACCATCCTAATGCATGTGAGGTGGTCCTCCTTTGACTTATGAAAAGACACAGTTTCAAAATGTTCAGTGACTACCTGATGCATCACTTGTCTCTCGCTTCATTTTCAAGATTTAAATTTAGTAACTTCGTGAAGGCACATGGCCATTATTGTCATGGTAAAGTCAGTTGTCTTCAGTTCTTCCTTCACTGATCCTAGTGGTCCTGCCTTTAGCGCCCCAGGCCATTCCAAGCAGGGTGGCCATGTATAAAACAGATACAGACAAAGGACTTATATGTCCATGTAGTCCAACAGAAGACACACCCATTCCGACTAAAGATATTTGTGCCCCTGTGTGATTATACAGAGAATTAACCTGTTACCCCAAAGTTCAGCCTGTTATATATATCTTTCAGGCTTCTTGACACTAGAATTTGAGGGTCAAGGAATATTTAGCTCTCCACAAGCACATACTTTTTAACCTTAAAAATAATACTATTGTAGGAGCTATAATCAAATGCAAACACAAGAGTAGTGGTTATATGGTCAGGTAATACAGAGGATTTCAGATTCAGCGTGAATATATTTGGTCCAATTATAAGGTATTTCAGTAGTCTTCAAACTTCGTGGTGAGATGAGAGAACTTACAGGATGTATTTTATTTTCCCATCCATAATTATGGGAAGATGAAATTAAAAAGTCCAAAAGTAAAGATAAAACCCACTACTGAGAGATGTGGAAGAGTAGCAAATGGCATATATGAGCATTTGCGAGAATTCCTAGTTTCCAATTGGTCTGTTCCTGTTCGGTGGTGTTGTTTATATAGAGCATGTTGCGACAGTGATCACTGACAAAGTCACATGTGGTGATGCATGGCATAACTATGCACGCAGATACTAGTAACCAAAAATATCTAACCCAGCAGATGTTAAAGTGACTATCAACCGATGGGAAAGGATCGCTTGTGCTTTGTCATCCTAATGTTACATTTATTATTAATGTAATGGAGTGTTAACATTAGCTTGAAGTGTTAGAGTGATGCCTTATGATATTAGAAACTCAAATTATTAATTCACAGGGAGACTCGATTGTTGAAAGGAAGTTAGATATTGGTGTTGCAGTTTGGGTAAGTAAGGAGTAGGACTTCCCTATGGACTACTTTTCCTGCAGCACCTGGGATGACCTTGAACATAACTGTGACCTTCATGGGGCTGAGATATAGCAAAAATATGCAAGGTCTTTGGAACCAAAAAAAACTGGATTCATTTTCTGCCTTTGCCACTTACTGTGACTTTGTGAAATAAGGATAAGTGCAGAGTGTATAAGGGAGAAATTATATATATATAAATATAACATGTATGGACTTAACTATATGTATATATAACAGTGCCTGCCATATAGTTGGAGTTACACAAATGATAATTGCTATCATCCCTTATTTACTTATTCCCAGTTTGGTTGCACAATAGGATTAGAATGGTTTAAAAAATTGTCCAACTACTCAGCAATCAGTAACTAAGCAGTTGGCCCACTTCTAAATCCAACAAACTGAGAGGGAAGTTACCTGTTGCAGTTTAACTTTTTGGATTAATAGGAATGCTGGCAGAAAACATTAAATACATGAACAAATGTGTAGAGAAAGGTTTTTTCAAATACCCCAGCTGTCAGGTCCCTGCATAGACAGCATAACTTGGGTATGCTTTGAAGTCTGGGTTATTTTTTCATGACCAAAGTGTGTGCGTGCATCCACGAGGTCCTCAGTTCTGACAGTTAGGAGATTCAGGCAGCGGCAGGGAAAGTACAAGTGGAAACCCCCTGGCTTCTCCTGGGTGTCCCCTCCAGGCAGCGCTTTACCCTGAGGACTCCTTTCAGCCTGTACCCGCGGGACGAGTGCTTGCTATTACCCCTCCTGTTTTTTAGATGAAGAAACTGCGGCATAGATAAGTTCATATGTGCCAGGACTCAAAAGGAGATTCCAAACCCATATTCGGCCCCCCTCTATAGGTGGGCTGTATTTATTTCATCAGTGTGTTATTTTTGTTTTTCACATTTTGAAGGTAAATCAGAAAACCAAATTACTCTTAATTGTGTTTAATTAAATTAACAGGTCCTTGAGAAGCCTTTAGAAATCGGGTATTTTTAATTAAGCAGTATTTGAGGACTATTTTGCCCTACTACTTGGAGGAAAATCACTGCAGCTTATATTTCATTAAAATACCTTGTGCATAGTGGTCATTTTTCTTCCAGAACTTTTTTTCTTTCTCAAAAAACAGTCAAGTATATTCTTAAATAAACTATTTTAGTGAAACATGAAATGTGGGGATTTGTTTGGTTGGTTCACCAAATGAAAATGCACTAAGGAGGTCCAGTAAGATCAACTTTATTTTAATATTACTGCTATCTTCATCTTCCCTTTCCTGTTTTTTTTTCATTGACTGGAAAAGAAAGATTTGTTCTCCTGCCTGATGTGATAAGCATGTTATGTCGAAGTTTTGCACGATTAAAAGGTTTCTATTAAAACTCTCTTCTGGAGATGCATATCCATATAACTTCATATTTCCTCCCTTATCTAACTGCTTGTTTCTCAGCTTTTAATGCTGCCTTGTCTTTTGTGCCTTTATCTTTGTTTATTTGAATTAGGTACTGCTCTGCTCCCTTTCACGGGCTCTTTTTTCTGTGCCATTCTTTCCTTTGCTACCGTGTCTAAAACCAGGCCCTAGAGAAACAGAAAGAATACATTGCCTGCCTTAGGGGTGAGCGGGATTCGCTCAGAGCGGAGCTGGCGGACCTGAAGGAGACGGTGCAGACAGGAGAGGTAGGTCCGCCTTAGCACGGAGCTCATGCGTGTCCCCCGTGCTTTGTTCTGCCGTTCCTCCCGTTACCTTTCCCAGCCTGAATGCAAACCAGTGATCTTCTTCAGTCCAGATTCGGTAGGTTTAAGTCAGTTCTTCTGCAGAGCTCTGATCCATGTAACTAGTTATAACCAGGCTTTACCTGTGGCAAACGTGTATTGTCGCAGTCACCTCACAGAGCACACCGCTTCCATAGGGCCGTCTTTTGTGATGGTGCATTTTTTCCTTCTCCGCAGAAACATGGCTTAGTTATAATCCCTGACGGCACTCCCAATGGTGATGTCAATCATGAACCGGTGGTTGGAGCCATCACTGTGGTGACTCAGGAAGCTGCTCAGGTCTTGGAGTCAGCGGGAGAAGGTCCACTAGGTAAGAAGACAATGGTTGTTGACTTGGATTAGTGTTATCCTGTTAGACTTCCAGCATGTTCATATCCCATCTTGGAAAACAGAAACCGCACAAGAGCTGTCTGAGCCATGTCTAGCTCCTTAACAGGAAGAAATCTGGGCACATTGTCTTCAGACGTCCTTGACCTTGGGAAACCAGCATTTGGGTCCTTGTAAGGCCCCTGGGTGGAGGCACTGTGGGTCTGTGGGTATACGCACATTGCTTTTTCGCTTAACACCCAAACCTGCTGTGAAGAGCAATCCAGCATACCCTCCCCAGGGAGCCCAGGGAGCCCGTGGGCTGGCAAGTTGACTTGCCCAGCGTGCCTTTTCCTGGAGCATCTGGTTTTACGTTCTGCCGCGTATCCCAGTAGCTGTTTGCCACCTCGTTTCTTAAGGCAAGAAACAGATGACAGAGAAGACATCAGGGGAGTGTTATTTCTAGAGCAGGGCATCTGAGCCTCTTAATGTCTAAGCCTCTTAAATTTAACCCTTTGAGAATCTAATGATACCTCTCTCAGGAAACCACACAGATGCCCAACCGTTGCCTCCACTAAGAATCAAACGGCACAGATAGGTCCTGTATCATCAGCTCACTTTTATTTATTGAAAAGCTATTTTTTTTTCTTTTTCATCTTGTTTTCATATGTGTGTAAGTTTCCTCAAGGAGTGGGATATGGTGTAAGAGTAGGGGAAGCCAAAAATCTTTTAAGAAGTTAGTAAGCACGTTCTCTAACATACAGAATTCCAGAAATATAATTGTAGAGCACTTTGATAGAGCAGAGGATGCTAGCTAGCAAGTGAGAGCTGCCCTAGGGAATGGACTGAGGGTATGGCTACGGGCAGGCAGCTCAGGGTGTTTCTTCTGCTTGTTTGAAAGGCGCTGAAGGAACCAGAATTTAGATATAGCCGTGACGCTGGGTGGTTGTGGGAGGCACTGGCTAGGTGTCCGCTGCTGCTTTTACTCATCTATAGGTATCCCCTCAGCCCAAGGGGCCTACTTTCATGGGTGCTTGGAAAGAAGCAGCTCTCACCCCAGCCCAGGACCCAACCCTAGTGATCCTGCAACCAAACCTGAGATTCGCTCCTGACGGCCCACGTCTGGAGTTGTCCCCCTTCCCTCGCCCACTAGCTTCGGTGGCCTTGGCTTCTCCCAGCATTGTGTTCCCCGTTTTCTTTGTTCCAGCCTCCTCTCTCAGTCCCACTCTTCACCCCTGTCTTCTGTCCCATATTTTGTTTCCTCCTGCTAAGGGCTGAATTAAGCCTGTGGGAGCGCCCTCGCCATTTGAGTTGTCTGTCTACTAGTGAAAGCTTGCAAAGTTTTGAAACAAGAAAATGATCTTTGTCTCCAAATGGAAAATCACTGCTCTTGGGAGCAAATGGATTTAGTGCCCTGATAAATATCAGCTGTGTGGAAATATGTGTTGAATAATTAAGTACTTTTTCTTAATGCCATTAAAGCCTTCATGTCTTTTGATATTCAGAGCTGTATGTTATCAGATAATGTTCGCTGTTTTTAAATTTGAGGAATTATTTTTAACTGTTTATGTACCACATCGTTATCAATTTAGCTTACAAGTTTTTAAAATTTGTTTTAGATGTAAGGCTACGAAAACTTGCTGGAGAAAAGGAAGAGCTACTGTCACAGGTAAGGCTTTCTTATTGGAAAGAAATGTTAATTAACTTACCAAATCACATGGTAAAATGTTAGCAAACTAATGTCCACTGGAAGGAAATGTGCTTATTTCAAATATCAGTACTCAAATAAGATTTGAAGGATCAAAAGATCATTCATAGTTTGCCTCTTTGTTTCCTATTCTTTAAAAAAGTTTACAGGACACATAGTTTGAGGGTCAAATAGTCCTACAAAGCTTGCTGTGAAGACGGAAGTGCCCTGCCCTGCCTCCTCACCCCTGCCCCTGACCATTCCTACTTGGCTGTTCTAGCTGATTCTTCTGGTGTGTATTGTCCTGGTGTATTTGTATATAACATACTTGTGCTGTTTCTTCATGTGTTTTAGACATTCTCTGTTGACCTCTTTCTGTGGAAGATGAGCATGGAGCTTTCTGTCACCCCCGTCCCTACCAGACGTGTCCTTCCCATCCCCACACCCTCCTAGTACAGGAACAGTGTCATTCCAGTGTGTTTATGTTACGAGGACTCTGTAAACACTGCTCACAGCCGAGCCCTGTGGCGTGCTAGGGTTGCCTTTCATCTCTTTCAAAACTCCTTATTTCCCCTAAAGTTAATATTGTGGGTTTTGCTTTCATTTGCTTGCTTTCCTATGTGTTTGTTACTTATTTAGCTGCAGACTATCCAACAGCGTTTAAGCCCTCTCTTAGTGTTTTCAGATGCAGCAAGTCTTCTCTGTTCCATCTTTGATCCTTGGAGCCTCTGATGCATCCTGCTCTCAACTCCCTCAGCACAGAGCCATGTCCGCCCTGCATTGTCGTCTGGGGTCCCCTCTGCCTGGAGCCTAGGCTGGCTTCCCTCTTTGCAATGTCTTGTGCCTTCCTCCTTTTTTATTCATTCTCTTATTTTGGTACTCCCCCCCCCCACCCCCCAAGTAACTGCCTGAGAAAAGGGGATGTGGGCTGTAAATTTTTCTTAACTTTGGAGGCCTGAAACTGTCTTCATATTACCCTCTTACTTGATTTAGCAGTTTGGGTATAGAATTCTGTGTTACAATTGTTGTCCTTCATCTTTTTTTTAAAGAAATTGCGTCATTGTATTTTGGCTTCCAGTATGGCTGTTGAGAATTTCAAGGACATTCTGATTTTGGATCTTTTGTATGTAACCCCTTTCCCCTCTCTGGAAGCTTGTATCATACTCTTTCTCCTTGCAGTTCTGAAATTTCACAGTGATATGCTTTGGAGTTTTCATGCATGGGCCCCTGTCAATTCTAGGAATCCCTGTCCTTCAATTCTGGGAAAATTTCTTGAATGATTAGCTCCCTTCCCATATTCTGTGTTATCTCTTTTGGAAACTCCTATTTAGTCATTCAAATGTTGAATGAGATTCCACTATTTAACAGGCACTATTCTAGGTATTTGGGATATTTCAATGAACAAATCAATAAAAAAAAAGTCCCTGCCCTAGTAGACCTTACAGTCTAGTGGGAGGAGACCAGACAGTGAACAGCTAACATAATTAATAAGTCCGTTGTATGGTATGGTAGAGGTTTGTGTGAGTGCATTTATTGTGTTTCTCCAGCCTTAGTTAGCTTCACTGGTGCAGGCTTTTACCAGGAGACTATAACACAGCAGAGGAGGTTGAGGGTGTGTGCAAGAGAGTGATGATGGACCTAGAGTCTAAACCAGGTAAGGAGGTTAGAGAGGACATCCAGGAAGACCAGGAAGACAGGAAGGCGCAGTGGAAAGAAGATGGGAGCAGTGGATCACAGGTGCCAGCGGGATTGAAGGATTTTTGGAGTTCGGGTCCAGAGAGAATGAGCTGGAAAGACCAGGAACTAGTTAGAAGAGAAGATACATGGATCGGAATTACGTGGGAATTGTAGTTATCTAATGGTGCGATATAGTACATGACTTTGGGAGTGAGTGGCTGAGGGCAGGGAGGGACAGAAGGCAAGGTCCTTGGAGAGGAGGTGTTTGGGAACTCAGCCATCAGTTATAGGAGAAATCCTCTACTTAGATGTTTTTTGAAATTGCCAAGAATTAAGGCAGAAATAGTCTGAGGGAGTGCGAGTCAGGAGCTAAAATGGTAAAGAGTGGGATGATGGTAGCGATGAGGGGTGGTTACTAAACATAATTGGAAGAGATGAGATTAGGAGCAGGGAATTTTAGGGAGGATAGAGGAAGAATAGATTGGCAACAGCAAGAAAGCAAGAGAACACCTATTCCATTTTCAGGCTCAGCGGAAGGAAGGCTGGGGGAGAACAAAAACAGCTGGCACTTGGAAGGGCAGCCGAGGAAGCAGGAGTCCACGAGAGCACGAAGGGAGGCAGTGCTCAGAGCGGAGCCTGAGGACGAGGGGCTTTTGCTGACGATGAATGGTAGTCCACAGGGCACAGTGGAGGAGTTCCAGGGAACGCTTAGGAAGTGAAGACGGTCGTACCGAGCCTTCTGGGGAAGAGCGCAGGAGGAGGAGGAGGGCCCTTTTTGAAATGGACATAAACAGGCATGGCGGAGATAATGAGATTCGTCCTGGCTCACTCAAGGCAGCTAGTAATGGCGACCCCGTGTGTGTTGAAAGCGCAGAGGTGTCTGGGAAGCATGAGTTTAGTCCTAGTGCTGAGGCTCCCCCCTGACCCCTGTCGAGAGTTGAGGACACAGTTGGAGGAGCCCCCTGGAACTCTGAGCATGCCGACTCACCCTTGAACCTTGATGAAGGATGGAGGCGGCGTGGGAGCTTGGTCCCAGCCCCCGAGGTCGCTCCCCGTGTGTGGGTTGGGGTAGACTTGCTCTGCATTGTGCTTGTGAGAGTTGTAGGCATTTGGGGATCCATGACTCCGATTTCTGAAGGAGGGGGTCATTAGGCCGCTGGCACTGATGCTCTCACTGTTTATCTCTCGTGTTTTCCATTCTGCTGCTCTACTTTTGAAAGGTTTTCTCAGCTTTATCTTCTGATTCTTGTGTTGAGTTTCTATTTCTGCAGTCATTTCAAGGATGCAGATATTTTCATTTATCTTGGAGGATATTGATTGGCTGATTGGTTTGGTTTCTAATGTTTTCTTCTGTCTGCGGTTTGTTTCCTTCCGGATGCACTTTTATGTATATTTAGTTGGTCTTCAGTGTCAGAGGGGTACTGAAAAGCTGATGAGCAGCTCTGAGCACATGGGTGGGGCTTGTCCAAGTTTTGTAAAGATTGACGTGGCTGGGTGTTTTGTTGGGAACCTCAGTGTGGGAATGTTGGTCTTTTATTTTAGGCTAGTCTGGGAGTCCTAAGATATCCTCCAGTCCTTTGCCTGAGGGTACCAGCCGAGCTGTCTGCACTGTGGGACTGCGGGTGGACTAGACACCTCAGCGTTCAGTGCATTGCTGTCCACCTAGTCTCCTTGTTTTCCACATGTGGCATTCCTGTCTCCACTGGGCCTTGTTTTTGTCCCAACCTAGAATCCCTGTTAATTTTATTGTTTCGATTCTTTATTTTTCTGCCGAATAAGCTGCACATTCTTAAAGTGCACAGATGTGCATGCCTCCGTTAGTTTTCTAGGGCTGCCATAACAAAGTTCCACAAACAACAGAAATGTATTGTCTCACAGTCTGGAGGCTGGAGGCCCAAGGTCAAGGTACTAGAAGTGTTGTTTTCTTCTGAGGCCCGTGAAGGGAAATCTGTTCCGCGATTCTGGTGGTTGCCGGCCATCTTGGGCACTCCTTGGCTTGTAGAGAGCTTCTCTGTGTCTTCACATCATCCCCTCTGTGTGTGTCTCTCTTCACCTGGCATTCTTTTTATAAGGACACCAGTCATATTGGGTTAGGGGTCCACCTATTCCAGTATGACCTCATCTCAACTTAACTAATCGACTGTTTCCAAATATGGTCACATTCCAAGGTACTAGGGATAGGACTTCAACATATGAATTTGAGGGGGACACAATTCAGCTCATAACAACACCCGTGAAATGATCACCACAGTCACAATGGCGAAAATACTCAGAACTCCCCAAAGTTTTGTGTCCCTTTGTAAACCTTCCTGCGCCTCCCTCTTCCTACCCCCCCACCCCCCACCCCAGGAAGCACTGGTCTGCTTTCTGTCACTAGATGAGTTTGCATTTCCTGGAGTTTTGTATAATCGGAATACACTGTTACACAGCATACCTATTTTGAGATTCAGCCATATTGTTGCATGTGTCAGTGGTGCTTTCTCTTTGATGCTGAGCAGTAATTCCATTGTATAGATGTAACCAGTTTGTTTATCCTCCTGTTGATGGACATGTAGATAATTTTTAATTTGGGCTATTATAAATAAGCTACTGTGAACTTCCTTTACTTTGGGTAAAATAAGGTAGACTGCATAGCCAAACTAAAAAATGTATTTCCAGTTATTTCTGTATGCAGAAATTTTCCAAATAAGAATATTTAACCTAACTCTAAAACAAAACAAAAACGAACTGCCCATAGAATTTCCATTTTTAATAAAAGTAACAAAAAGTACTGAAAAGTGATGTTCTAAAAACCTTCACAAATAATGAAATAGAGCTGTTTTTATTGGGACACCTGGTCCTGGTGCTCACTGCTTTTGCGATTGTTCATAGCTTATCTGTAACACTTTTAACAGTGTGCCCCCCATGGCCAGAAAACAGCCTCTGAAGGAATGATTTGTGTGGCTGACGAGGGTCTGCCTTGTTCGGCAATGAGGCCGTTGGGCCCCGCTTCCTATGAGAGGCCGATCTTGCTGATGAGCCATTGTTTCCACTTCAGATTAGAAAACTGAAGCTGCAGCTAGAGGAAGAACGGCAGAAGTGCTCCAGGGATGACGGCACCATGGGCGACCTGGCAGGGCTGCAGAACGGCTCGGACTTGCAGCTCATCGAGATGCAGAGTGGGTGCTGGGTGGGGACAGGCCAGTCCCCATCTGTGTGGAGGCTGTGTCCCAGGAGCGGGGTTGGAAGCGGGCTGCTAGCGTCTTGTAATTCACATTTCTCAAGAAAAGCTGTGTTACACAGATTGGTCAGTCCTATTTGTCCAGAAGAGCAGTCCTGTTCAGTAATGGAACCGAATAGAAGCTTCTACTAACCTGTGTGCTTCCGGGGATAATGAGAGCACGCTTCCCTTTTCTAGGCAAAGTGATTTCTAGGAACATTTTGCAAATTGTGACATCCTGCCACTGTCCTCTTCTGTACCCGTGTCAACTTGAAGTTCCCATGCAGCACCCTTCCTAATGACAATGTTTTTGTGGAATTTATCTTGGAAAAATTGGAGGGATATAGTTGGAACTAACAGTAATGTTGAGTAGTTTAGAATTTTCTCAGAAGTTTTCTTGTTAACTCAAAGTAATTTTCATGTGATGGAATTTAAAATAAGGCCATGAAATAAGCCTATTCCATTTATCTAAATTATTCCACTTTCTCTCCTTTTCTAATTCTGACCCCTTGTTATTTTACAATTCCTACTGTATTCACAATAATTCCCATGGTAAGGACACTTCAGAAGCCATTCACATATAGTCAGATACTGTATAATCATGGAGGGGGAGACTTTTATTTTTCCAATTTAAATAGTGGCTTTTCTGATAACTTATTTTAAAATATTGGTTATTCTATGGCCTTGTCATCTAAATATCCTGTGTTAGGCTAAATAGAAAAGACTTGTGGGATTAACACTAATTGGTGCTATTAATAGCAATTTTTGGAGTTAGTGTTGTTTCTTCAATGATAACAGGACCCTTGTGATACTTCCTGGTGAATATTTTGTTCCAGAAATATCATTTTGGCATGGAGGGCAGGTGAAGACAGGGGCATGACAAGAGGCAGGCTGATGAGTTAGGAGGCAGTGATGGTGAGCTAAGCCAGTACAATGGCTGTCGAGTCCTAGAGAGAGAGCAGGGGATAGATCTGAAAGAGACTGGCAGCAAAATCAGAGGGAATCATTGAGGAGGACAGGACATGCATTTATGTGTGAATGCTTCCTAGTGCAGGTAGGCGTTACAGAGCTGGCACTCGCGGAAGGTAGGAAAAAGTGCCCGCTGGAGCTGTACATGCAGGTGTGCTGGGCGGGACCAGGGATGGCTGGGCAGCTTCCATGCACCAGAGGGGCTGGGAGGAACACTGCTTTGGCTGTGAAGCATGGCGTTTGGATGGAGTTTCAAAACATGCATTAAATGGCTGAGACGAAGGATTTAACAGCTTTGAAAATAGGAAAGAATGAGCAGTTTGGAGAGTGAGAAAGCAGCAGCACATTTCAATAAGCTGCTGGGATGAAGGATTAAAAAATAAGATCCTTGCCGGCCAAGTGGCTCAGTTGGTTAAGAGCTCTCTCAAGAGTTTGAGCTCTAAGCACGAGAGTCGCCAGTTCGATTCACGGCTTGAGCCAAACTGCCGCTGAGCTGCCAAAAGGTGGCAGGATGGCTCAGCTTAAAAAAAAAAAAAAAAAAAAGTAAGATCCTGAAGCCACTGCTTACACCCTAGGAGAAGGGGTTGCTCTCTTTGACTCCCAGAGGTGGCTTTTGGGGAGAAGGTTTCATAACCCCATTACTTTTAGGGTGACAGTAACTGTCCAGTTAGAACAGCCTCTTGCACTGAAGATTATATATATATATATATAGGTAATTGTAACCTTAATTATGTGGAACAGCACAAAAGTTCTTAAGTTAGGTAGGTTATATTTGGTTTATCTCCTATAAGACTTAAAATTCCCACCTTGTAATCATTTCAGAGAATGATTTTTTTTTTTAAGATTTTATTGGGGAATTGGGGAAGGGGAACAGCTTTGGGAAATCGGGGAAAGGGAACAGACAAGTTGCTGTCCTTCTGTTCTTCAGTCTAGTTGTGGAGGATGTCGCTTCACTGGCCCATGTTGGTATTCGCTCTTCCCGGGTGAGGCAGTCGCTCACCAGCTATTGGACGGCCACTCACAGTAGCTTATGGCAGCCCACTGCAGCCCCACTGCAGCCTACGCCATCACCGACGACTCACGGCAGCCCAGCTCCAGGTCGAGCTGTTGTTCACCATTTTAGCTGTAGAGGGCGCACCATTACTGGCCCTCATATGGGATCCGAACCAGGGTCCTGCTGCTCAGAGCTGGCATCCCAAGCCAACTCTTAACTAATGTGCCACTCAGCTGGTCCCAGAGAATGATTTTTGTTAAATTTGGCTTGCTGGGGGGGAATTTTTTTCTCCCCCATCATTTCTAAAGTTCTAATTTTAAATGGTTTGCTTCTTAGGTCAAAGGTGTAGCTACTGACTTATGGCCCTACCCATACCACATTATCACATGCTATTGAAAAGCATTTATTTCAGCAAATATTTATTAACATACACTTTGCAAAGCACTTGGCTGGATACAGAGGTAGATTCAAGAGGGCAAAGCCAGGGCCCCTCTCCTTACATACATATACAAAATTAAGAAAGCATGATAAATGTTATAAAAGAGAGCAAATAAAATGCAATGAAGGAAGGAGAAGTCATAGTTAACTAAGGAGACTGAAGGCGGTGAACACTGAGCATAGCTTTCGAGGGTGGTTAAGACTTAAATCAGGGGTTGGATGAGTGGCATGTTGGTTGAGAGCTGGCTTGGGACGCCAGCTCTGAGCAGCAGGGCCCCGGTTCGGATCCTACATGGGGGCCAGTGACGCTGCGCCCTCTACAGCTAAGATGGTGAACAACAGCTCGACCTGGAGCTGGGCTGCTGTGAGTCTCCGGCAACGGCATAAGCTGCAGCCCCTGCTGCAGTGGGCTGCCATAAACTACTGTGACTGGCTGGCAGCCGGAATGAGTGGTCAGCAGCCTGGGTGAGCTGCCAAGAGCCGCCGTGAGCGGCCATCCAGAGGCCAGCGACCGATCTGCCTCATCCGGGAAGAGCGCAATGATAATACCAACTTGGGCCAGTGAAGCGACGTCCTCCACAACTAGACTGAAGAACAAAAGGACAGCAACTTGTCTGTTCCCCTTCCCCAGATTCCCCAGCACTGTTCCCCTCCCCCAATTCCCTAATAAAATCTTTAAAAAAAAAAAAAGACTTAAATCAGCGGGGAGAAAGGGGCACGTGAGGCATCGAGGAGCAGGACTGGGGGGGTGGGAAGGCGGAGGGCCGGGTCCTGTGGTGCAGAGGCTTCCTGGGCCACAGGGCTGCAAGTGAGGCTGGCAGGGGCCACTCTACCTACACACACCATGGGCTGAAGAGTGAAGTTTCTTCTGACTCCTGATCCGAGTGTTGCTGCTGCAGCACAAGTGCTAGAGCTTCTCGTTGTGTCCACAGTTCCAGAGCGTGGGCTGCCGCAGCGCTGTGGTTGCCCGCTGTGCCTTTGTGTCTTGTCTTTAGACTGCATTGTCCTCTCCTGTGCTCCAGGGGGCGTCATTGCCTGATGGGTCACACCTTCGCCTCTAAGAGCTGATTCATTACTTTCTTCCGTTCTAGGAGATGCCAATAGACAAATTAGTGAATACAAGTTTAAGCTTTCAAAAGCAGAACAGGATATAACCACCTTGGAGCAAGGCGTAAGTACTCCTACTGCTTCTGTATGGCACCGAGTGATTTAAATCCCGTTAAAACACATCTGCTTCCTGCATCTAAGTGGCCACCCCATGAGTGCCTGCGTTTCCTTGCGCTGCCTTTATGGTTGGAGCTCTAGAACAGCTCTACATTAAAGTGGAAAAGGCAGCGAGAACACCTGGCAAGTCACTTCAGCCTTCTGTTTTCTGTAAAAATGTAGAAAACTGTAGCTATAGTTGTATTTTCTGTGGATATTTCATGAGAATTCAAGATTGTGGTTCATAACAAAATGCCTTATTGTACATTTCAAAATGTCTAGAAACTTCCATTCAGCGAGTCTCCTCCTGCAATGCTACTTTGGCACTTAAACAATATGGTCATCATAAAAGTTAACATGGGAAATTGGCTCTCTAATGGCTACAGCTGTAATCCTTTGGGGCATTTCTGGATTTATAAATAGCAGTATGACTCACCCTAGGGGGACTTGTTAGTGTTAGATTACTTGGAATTTTAATGACATTGTACTTCCATCTTGGCTGCAAAAAAGTGGTGGCTCCTAGCACCCCATAGCAGAGGCCTGTGTTCGCATATTTACAGATTAGCCGGCTTGAGGGACAGGTGCTGAGATACAAAACTGCTGCTGAGAATGCTGAGAAAGTGGAAGATGAACTGAAAGCAGAAAAGAGAAAGCTACAACGAGAGGTACTTGTTTTTTTCATATGCTTCCTGGAATACAGTCCTAAAAAGAAGAAAGTCCTTTGGAAAGAAATTCTTGACTGCGTAAGGAATTTAATCCTTACTTTAATCCAATCTTAAGGAAACAGCAGTGGAGTCACTCTTCTGCGTTGGTTTTTAATCTGTACATTTATTGCCATTTGTTTTTGTGTTTTCATCAGTTAAATAATAAGAAAAAGGATAGTGAAGGGCCGGCTGAGTGGCTCAGTTGGTTAAGAGCTCGCTCAAGAGTTTGAGCTCTGAGCAACAGCGGTTCGAGTCAGCCCGAGCTGAGCAGCCGTGAGCTGCCAACAGGTGGCGGGATGGCTCAGCTAAAAAAAAAAAAAAGAAAAAAGAAAAAGGATAGTGTTTAATTTTCTTTGCGCTCAGGTCCATTTCTCCACCTTCTAATATGTCCTGTTTGAGATGAATGCTCAGCATCATTGGTTAACACCTCTAGCTGACTGACAGAAAAGGAGGCTGTGAGATCCTGTGCAAGGTCATCACCATTAGCAGTGCTTCCATTTCCCAGAAAGTTGAGAATAAAGTAGCACTGGGTTTTGTTTCTGACCATGTCAAGTGACCGAGTTCTTCCTGTCTCCAGTTACGAACAGCACTGGACAAGATTGAGGAGATGGAGATGACCAACAGCCACCTCGCCAAGCGGCTGGAGAAGATGAAGGCCAACAGGACAGCATTTCTGGCCCAGCAATAGGGAGGCCCCCCCTCCTACCTGGGTGCTGCTCCTGGGGCCCCGCCCAGAGGGACTGACTTTTTGTCCAGTGACGCAAACCCCTTTCAGTACTGTTTTGAGTTTTGTCATTAATATCGCCACTTTTGTGTTTTATAATTTATGAGAGAATGAAACAGGTTTGAATCTTCATGGATGAACACTTTGGATTTTGTTTGTAGTTTGATTCTAGACAAAGAACTGGTCCATGCTGTTTTTATTTTTTATTTCTGTAATTTTAGAATCAAGTTTACTCACCATGTTCCCCCAGCTGCCTCAATAACTGGGCACTCGGAGGCCTTGGCCCAGGTCCTAGAGGACAGTGATCCTGTGAGTGCTCACTGAGATACTTGCTGGAGACCTCAGAAAACACAAGTGCCTTCTCCACAGTGCAATTCAGACTTCAGTGATCTCCGGGGGTCGAAAGACACTTACCCTTACTTAATACCAGATAGCATTTATATTTTAGTGAAGAAACAAGTTCACAGGCGGGGAATAATGTTTCACTCAAATTTATATGTTTGGAGGAAAAAGCCTTTTTTTGTAAAATATTTAAATTTATATAAGAAAATGTTAGAAAAAGATATGGGGAATGTATATAAAACTTGCTTTATGCATGGGGCAGGGGAATTCCAAGGCCTGATACTCTTAAAGTAAGAGGAGGGGCCTTAGTCTTCAACATGAACTGCGCTGTGTCTTGTAAAGTATTTCATCTGCTGCTTCTTTGTGGAATGAAACCTCAGACAAGCCCAATTTGGGGGGCGGGGGGGAGTATAAAGCAGGCAGGTGGGACATCTGCCCGAAGAGTCTATTAAACACACCTGTTTGCTGACCACAATTGGCTACTGACACATTCATTTTGTTAGCAGAGCCTTTAAAACAAGTCATGGCAACCATGCCCTCATCTTGTCCCTCTTCTTTTCTCTGCTTCCTAAGGAAAAACTATCTGGAATACAGAACTATTTTTTTCAAGAACTTTCGTTTCATCTTTAAAGGTACAAGAGTTTTCACATCGAGTGTAGCCATTTTGCAGGATTTGTGATTCTCTTTTGCTCTCAGAAGCAAGGCGGTTTTATGGAAATGATTACTGTATCTTCACTGTGTTTACACAGAAAAAGAAATGCAGAAAGTCTAATAAATTAAAGCCATATAAGAATAAAATTAGACCTGAAACTAGACAATAAAGTTAACTCAAATGTGAATAAAACTTCCATCTAATCATTATTCCCTTCTTTAGAGTAAGTAGCCCTTTGTTTTTAAAATATGGAAACTGATCTCATGAGTTAAGATGATTTCCTATAAATTTTCTTGCTAGTAGTAACAACAGTTCTGTTTGTGAGCGGTGGGGGAGCATGTTCGGAAACGCAGATGTATCCTGGAACCCCACAGCTGCAACCAAGGCACGGTGTGGGCCAGCTCTCGAGCCTGGGAACCCCGCCCCCTCTTCACCCACCGTAACTCAGCCTGTGCCCCTCACAGGCCCGTGGACTCCCATTTCTGAGAGGCCCTGGTCTATTTTCTGGAAGTTCCCTTTTTTCTTTCTTTCTTTTTTTTTTTGACATTCAATATTATTTTATATTAATTTCAGGTGTACAGCATAGTGGTTAGACATTTATATAATTTTAGAAGTGATCCCCCTGACTAGTCTAGTACCCACCTGGCACTATACATAGCTATTACAATATTACTGACTAAATTTCCTATGCTGTATTTTACATCCACATGGCTATAATGTAACTACCAATTTGTACTTTTTAATCCCTTCACCTATTTCACCCTGTCCCCCAACCCCCTCCCATCTACCACCCCAACAAATCTAGCACCCATCTGACACCATAGTTATTACAGTATTACTGACTATATCCCTTATGCTATACCCTACATCTCCATAACTAGTTTGTAACAACCAATTTGTATTTTTTAATCCCTTCCCCTACTTTTACCCACACCCCCAAAGCCCTCCTATCTGGCAGCCATCAAAACATTTTTTTTGTATCTATGAGTTTGTTTCTGTTTTGTTTATTTTGTTCTTCAGGTTCCACATATAGCAAAATCACATTCCAGCTATCTTTCTCTGACACACTCCACACAGCACTGCACCCCTCCAGGTTCATCCCTGCCGCTGCAGATGGCAAGAACTTATTCCCTTCCATGGTCAAGCAACAGTCCACTGTATATAATGGGTTGTTGGGAAAGTCATGATGCATGTTTGCAACAGATCTATATGATTGCTATGTCATTTGACAGCTGACAGTTCTAACTTCATTCAAAAATTGAGCGATTTGGTTGAGTTTTGGAGATTTTACACCAAGTTGAAGATGGAAGACCAAACTCTGCATTTTTGCCATATTTTACTGTTTTTCTTCCATAAAGGGAAGAACGCGTGTCAAGCTTGTAAAAAGTTGCATAGTTTACGGTGACAATGCTGTACAAGAACATCAGTGCCAACAATGATTCACGAAATTCCATGCTTGTGACTTTGACCTCAGCGACGCTCCTTGGTCAGGGAGGCCCACCAAGGATGATGACGACAAAATAAAGGCATTGATCAAGTCAAACCCACATTACATGACACAAGAGATTGCAGAAACATTGAACATCCATCATTCCAGCGTTCACGACCACCTGAAGAAGCTGGGATACGAAAGCAAGCTCAATATTTGGGTTCCGCATGAACTTAAAGAAGTTCATTTGACGGCATGTATAAATATCTGCAATATGCTCATTAAATGTGAGGAAAACGATCCTTTTTTGAAGCGACTGATAACTGGTGATGAGAAGTGCATTGCTGACAACAACGCGGTGCGCAAATGGCCTTGGTCCCGACGTGATTTGCTTCAAACGGCATCGAAAGCAGACATTCATCAGAGGAAGGTTATGCTCTCAGTGTGGTGGGATTTTAAAGGTGTCGTGTTTTTCGAGCTCCTACCAAGGAACCAAACAATCAATCCAAATGTGTACTGTCGGCAATTGGACAGTTTGAACGAATCCATCATCCAGAAATGTCCAGAGCTTAATTATAAAGGA